ACGGGTAATTTTCAACATGCTTCAACCTCACAACATTGGCATATCCAGATCTGTCAACCGTTTCCGGACCCCTTGCTATGTTAAAATCCCATGCGATTTTGGCGTCATCACAGTCACAGTGGCATTTTTTCGTTACCTTGTGCGTTTAGTGTTTACGGGCGAAAGCCGGACTCGGTCGGCAAGTCACTGAAGTATATACATATGTCGCTAGCCCTGACATGGGCAAATGAAGGCATATCCGTATCAATAGACTATCTTGGGACTATCTCGGGCTATGTCGCTAAATAGAGAAACATTCTCCTGCAAGGGCATTCCTGCTCTATTCCTTTTTGCCAAGGCCGTGAATTCTCCGTGAAAACACACCTAACCTGCGCGGTATCAGAACTGGTCGTAGTGTGTCTTTTTTGCTGCTATGCTTGGGGTCGCGGGGCACACCCCAGACACAAAAATCGCGCATAGTGTCAGGACCCGGGGCAGAGACTTGCGTAAAATTGTGTACCGATTTTATACGAAAGTGATGTCTGTGGACGCCAACTCGGCAGCGCGGTGCCGGTAGCAGAGACCTCTAGAGTGAGAGTCGTATCGGTATCGCGTTTTTGCATTGTTTTGATGCTAATCCGAAGGCGGTTCCTGACCCACTTTCTCGACCGCGGCTGCAATGTGACTGGCTGCAGCTGGCTTTAGCTGGCTTTCCGGTACCAGGTTTCTTGGTAGGGCAAGGGGTAAATCTTGGTATCGACCGAGATTCATTACAGGGCTAACCCTAAACGGGCAGGAAAAGTGGAAAGAAAACAGAAAAAAGTCTAATTATTCCCAAAAGAATGGCCCATGAGCAGGTCGAGCAGTACCTAGCTTATAGCTTCCCCAGCAACCAAATCCACAGGTATCTCTCCCCTCAAATTGACAAACGCGGGATTTCGTGCAAATACCTCTCTCCCCATTTATTTTTTATTTCTTTTATTTTTTAATTCCCAATTTTGCAAATTCAATTCCCAAATTCTTTTTTCTTTTTATTTTTTTTATTTTTTAATTTCCCTCACTCTTTTCTCTCATTATCCACCTACCCACTCCGGTTTTGACCCCCCCGTAATCCATTATAAAACAGCCCTTCCTTCACCCATCTCATTTTCTTCCTTTCCTCTCTTTACATAGGATCTATTCCGACTCTGTCATATCGCCATTCCGTTGTTCTTTCTCATATCGTTGGGTTCCAAGGCTGTGTGAGCCGAAAGCAACAACAATGGCGGAGCGGAGAATTTCCTATGCTGTTGATGTCGAAAATGGTGGTGAGCATCGCACCCGTGAGGCTGATGATGGCAATCTCGACGAGTACTCTGCTTTGAACCGATACATCTCCACTGCCCAAAACAACCGTCGTGGCTCGACCTCCAGCGCCGCTGGTAAGAGCGGCGATGACTCCGAGAAGAAGAAGCCCTGGTGGAAGTTCGGTGGCAAGGTCGTGGGAGGTGTCGAGGAAGGTTTCGTTACCCCCGATGACTGGCTCGAGACCGACCTGCGCGCTGGTCTCAGCAGCAGCGACATCGAGCCTCGTCGCAAGAAGATCGGCTGGAACGAGCTGGTGACTGAGAAGACCAACATCTTCCTTCAGTTCCTGGGTTACTTCCAAGGTCCTATTCTTTATGGTAAGTGACCTGGACTTCCGTCTTCAGGACGCGTTTCCAGCCAATCAGCCCACTAACGCCTTGCTCTCCCACAGTTATGGAACTTGCTGTCTGTCTCGCTGCCGGTCTGCGTGACTGGATCGATCTCGGTGTTATCTGTGGTATTCTTTTGCTTAACGCTCTCGTCGGTTGGTACCAGGAGAAGCAGGCTGCCGATGTCGTGGCTTCTCTGAAGGGTGATATTGCTATGCGTGCTCTCGTTATCCGTGACGGCCATGAGGAGGAGATTCTCGCTCGTGAGCTCGTTGCTGGTGATATTGTTATCGTCGAGGAGGGTACCGTTATCCCTGCCGATGTCCGCCTGATCTGTGACTACACCAAGCCCGAGATGTTCGAGACCTACAAGGAATACCTCGCCAACACCAACTCCGACGACCTCAAGGAGAAGCACGGTGACGATGAGGATGATGATATTGAGACCCACCAGGGTCCCTCCCTCATTGCTTGTGATCAGTCCGCTATCACTGGTGAATCCCTCGCTGTCGACAAGTACATGGCCGATGTCTGTTACTACACCACCGGTTGCAAGCGCGGCAAGGCCTACGGTATTGTCACTGCTACTGCTCGTCACTCCTTCGTCGGTAAGACCGCCGCCCTGGTCCAGGGTGCCAACGACACTGGTCACTTCAAGGCTGTCATGGACAACATCGGTACCACTTTGCTCGTTCTCGTCATGTTCTGGATTCTCGCCGCCTGGATTGGTGGTTTCTTCCGTCACTTGAAGATTGCTACCCCCGAGGACAACGACAACAACCTGCTCCACTACACTTTGATTCTCCTGATTATCGGTGTCCCCGTCGGTCTCCCCGTTGTTACCACCACCACCCTCGCTGTCGGTGCCGCCTACCTCGCCGAGCAGAAGGCTATTGTCCAGAAGCTCACTGCTATCGAGTCCCTCGCTGGTGTCGATATTCTCTGCTCTGACAAGACCGGTACTCTCACTGCCAACCAGCTTTCCATCCGTGAGCCCTACGTCTCCGAGGGTGTCGATGTCAACTGGATGATGGCCGTCGCCGCTATTGCCTCTTCCCACAACATCAAGAACCTCGACCCCATTGATAAGGTTACCGTCCTCACTCTCCGCCGTTACCCCAAGGCCCGTGAGATCCTCTCCCGCAACTGGATCACCGAGAAGTACACTCCCTTCGACCCCGTCTCCAAGCGTATCACCACTATCTGTACTTGCGATGGTGTCCGTTACGTTTGCGCCAAGGGTGCCCCCCGTGCTATTCTCGCCATGTCCGACTGCTCCCCCGAGGAGGCCAAGCTCTACCGTGAGAAGGTCACCGAGTTCGCCCGCCGTGGTTTCCGTTCCCTTGGTGTCGCCGTCCAGAAGGAGGGTGAGCCCTGGCAGCTTCTGGGCATGTACCCCATGTTCGATCCCCCCCGTGAGGATACCGCCCACACCATCGCTGAGGCCCAGGTCCTCGGTCTCTCCGTTAAGATGCTTACTGGTGACGCTATCTCCATCGCCAAGGAGACTTGCAAGATGCTTGCCCTCGGTACCAAGGTTTACAACTCTGAGCGTCTGATCCACGGTGGTCTCGCTGGTTCCGCCCAGCACGACCTTGTCGAGAAGGCTGATGGTTTCGCTGAGGTGTTCCCCGAGCACAAGTACCAGGTCGTCGAGATGTTGCAGCAGCGTGGTCACTTGATTGCCATGACTGGTGACGGTGTTAACGATGCTCCCTCCCTCAAGAAGGCCGATTGTGGTATTGCCGTCGAAGGTTCCACTGAGGCTGCCCAGGCTGCCGCCGATATTGTCTTCCTCGCCCCCGGTCTCTCCACCATCGTCGATGCTATCAAGTTGGCCCGCCAGATTTTCCAGCGTATGAAGGCTTACATCCAGTACCGTATCGCTCTGTGTCTCCACCTCGAGATCTACCTCGTTACCTCCATGATCATCATCAACGAGACTGTCGACTCCTCCCTGGTTGTCTTCATCGCCCTGTTCGCTGATCTTGCCACCATTGCCGTTGCTTACGATAACGCTCACTTCGAGGCCCGCCCCGTCGAGTGGCAGTTGCCCAAGATCTGGGTTATCTCCGTTGTTCTTGGATTCCTCCTCGCTGCCGCTACCTGGATCATCCGTGGTACCCTCTTCCTCAAGAACGGTGGTATCATCCAGAACTTCGGTTCTCCCCAGGAAATTCTCTTCCTCGAGATCGCCCTCACTGAGAACTGGCTCATCTTCGTTACCCGTGGTGCTAAGACATGGCCCTCGTGGCAGTTGGTTATTGCCATCTTCATCGTCGATGTCCTCTCTACCTTGTTCTGTGTCTTCGGCTGGCTCGCACCCGACTGGAAGCAGACCTCCCCCGTCGATGCCGGCGGTCCTGGCTTCTCCCACAACAACGATGTCGACATTGTCACCGTCGTTGTCATCTGGGGCTACTCCATCGGTGTGACTATCATCATCGCCGTTGTGTACTACCTCCTGACCATCGTTCCCGCTCTTGACAACCTTGGCCGCAAGACCCGCTCCAAGGCCGACACCAAGATCGAGAACATGATCGCCCACCTTTCCAAGCTTGCCATCGAGATGGAGCGCGACGCGGAAGGAAAGACTCGTTACACCATCGGTGCTCGCGCCGAGGAGATCGAGGACAACGAGTAAACGCTCGTCCCTTAGCTTTTTTGCAACTCGTTACTGATTCGAGGTCTAATTTCTCTTTTTATCTCCCTGCGATTACCCGCAAATTTTGCCGTGCCACCTAATTGAACATGCATGCCGTGGGAGTCAAGAAGGTCGAGTTCCGACTTTTTTCGCTTCCTTTTACCCGTATTATAGACTTTGTGTGTTTCATTTACCCCCCTGGCTGTGGTTTGCTTTCGAGTTGCTAGAGTCATGTTTTTATTCTCTACGTGTATGTATGTCGTTAATAGTGGCACTTAGTCAATCTAAAGGGATTCTAATCATTTCTGTTCTACTGTAATCTCGTAACCTTTCGTCTGATCTCTTTTTGTTATGCTTTCGTCTGATCTTGTTGCCTATTGTTTGTCTTTGGTCTCGACTCTCCCAGTCTCATAGGTGGAAGTAATTCTCCGTTCCCCATATTTTCCCCGGATGAATTCCTGGAGACAAGCTTCACCGTCTCTTTGCATCATGCATGAAGTATTGAGAAGTACCACAACACTCGACTTCCTACTTTCACCACCGGATTCTCACCTATCCTGGCACTAGTCTCGCTCAATATGAATCTCTAATTTTCCGTCTCATGCAACTAGCTACTCATCTATAAACTCCACTCCAAATGCCTTATTAGAACAACCGTAGATCGTGCCCATCGGAAGTAAACAATCACCCACACAACCACGATGCTCCCATACATCCTCTCCCTACTGTGTCTCCTCCTCCACACCCAAGGAGCCACCACCACCCCCATCCACCCCATCACCAGACAAACCTGCCAATCCACCGGCCACTGTCCACCAGGAACCCTAATCGTCAGCCGAACCCCCAACCACAAAAACACCACGCACCCAACCCTCCAATCCGCCATAAACTCCCTCCCCAACGACAACACCCCACAAACAATCCTCCTCCTAGCAGGCACCTACATCGAACAAGTAAACATAACCCGCCCAGGCCCACTAACCCTCCTGGGCGAAACAAGCAACCCCAGAGACGCATCCCGCAACCGCGTGCGCATAACCTGGGCCGCCGCCAACAGCGACAGCACCGGCGCCGTCGACAACGTCTTCTCCAGCGTGCTGGTCGTAGCGCCCACGCTCGAGGCTAGCCTCACGGGCACGGGCCCGACGGGGTATCCCGTGCCGGCGGACACGCCGTTTGGGAATACGGATTTCCGCGTGTATAATGTTGACTTTGAGAATACTTGGGCGGAGTACTCTGATGGGCCGGCGCATGCGTTGAGTCTTAGTCGGGCTAATGGGGGGTTTTATTACTGTGGGTTTTATTCGTATCAGGATACGGTGCGTTTTAGCTTCTTTCTAACTGTGCTTTTGGTCTTATTGTTGAGATTATTATTCGTTATTCGTTGGGAGTGCACTATTCTCACACCAACACTAACCCCCCACAGGTCTACATAGGCAAACTAGGCAACGCCTACTTCTACCAAAGCATCCTAGCCGGCCAAACCGACTTCCTCTACGGCTTCGGCACAGCCTGGATTCAATCCAGCGCGCTCCAGCTGCGCGGCTGCGGCGGCGGCATAACCGCCTGGAAGGGCACGAACACCACAACCCCGAACAAGTACGGCGTGTACATAGTCGACTCGAGCGTGCGCGCCGCGAATGCCTCCGTAGCGACTGATATCCAGGGCGCGTGTGCGCTCGGCCGGCCGTGGAATAGCCAGCACCGGTCGATCTTTGCGCGCTGTTATGAGGACGGCAGTGTTGATCCGCGCGGGTATGTTGATTGGGTTGTTGGTGGTGTTGGGCGCTTCGAGGAGGGCGTTACGCTTATGGCGGAGTATCGGGATTTTGGGCCTGGGGTTAATGTGACTGGACGGGTTGAGGGGGGTGTTACTTCTGTTCTTGGATTGGGGGGTTGGGAGGCGTATAGTACTCCGCTGAAGGTTTTTGGGGATGTGGAGTGGGTTGATTGGGGGGTTGTTAGGGGGACTGATTGAGTTCGATGGGTCTTGTTGGTACTAGTGAGTAGTGAGATTCCTGTTAAACAGTGCTTGCTTCACTTCTACATCCTAATCGTACCAGGCTCCTGGCGCATCTCCCCAATAGCCTTCCCCTCCGACGTCCCATAAGTATCAGCATACCTCCCCGCCATCCACTCGTGAACGGTAATCGGGGGATATTTACCACCCTCTGATGTACCTGTATCTGTATCCTCACACCCAGGAAGACACCGGATAGTATAGTTTGGATTCCCCGAGAAAAAGAACGGAACACTAAAGCGCTCCTTGCCACTGGTATTAATCACGCGGTGCAGATTCGACAAGTACCGATCATTCGTCCAGCGCATCATCATATTCCCCAGATTGACAACATACGCCCCAGGGACCGGGGTGACATCGACCCATTCAGACGAGAGGTTATTCCAGACCTGCAGCCCGCCCGTCCCATCCTGCATGAGCATGGTGATAGCGCCGAAATCGGTATGCGCGCCGATTCCTAGAGTCGACTTGTTAGTCCGTATTGCTTGACGAATTCACATCCTAACACAAGTTCACTAACCTCTCTCCAGATCCGACGCATCATCCTCCTGGGGCGGATACCGAAGCAGTCTAAGAATAGAGACGGGGTGATCACAGAAATCACCAAAAGCATGCTCGTCTAGACCGAGCGTGCGCGCGAGAACTTGCATGATGGCTACAGCCAGCTCGATCATCGCGTCGTGGTACTCGTCCATGACGCGGCGAAAGCCTTGAGCGTCGGCCACTTCGGAGGGATACTTATTCGGTCCGTGGCCGAAGCGGCGCTGGACGACGTATGGGTCGTTTAGGGGGAGGTCTTTGCCGAGATAGAAGCCTTCTTTGAGGTCGCCTTTTGTGCGTTTTTCGAAGTTTTGGGAGCGGAGGCACTCGTAGCCGCGGTTGAAGCCGCCGATGGCTGGGGGTTTAGTTTCTACTGCCGTTTGATGGAGTTGGGAGAGGCTGTATTACCTTGGTTGTATTTCTCTTTTGTTTCTAAGGGGAGGTTGAAGAATTCGTTTGAGTGTTGTAGGACTGCGGCTTGGAGTTCGGTTGGGATGGCGTGGTTGATTAGCTGGAAGAAGCCGAATTGTTCGCATGCTTGTTGGATTTGGTGGATGAGGTCTTCTTTGGTTGAGTCGTTGGCGTAGAAGGCTATTGAGGGGGTTAGGTATTCTCGGCATATAGGATGCTAAGGGCACTTATTACGGGCGAAATCAATGATTGGGGGTTCGTTAGGCTTCATCTTGGAGGTAGTTAGGTGTAGGAAGTGAGACTATAAAGTCTTTTATAGCTGTTTATACCTGATCTTGGTCTTATATCTTCGAAATGCGGGGAATTCGTTATCTCTTCACTCAATTTTGTACATGTACTTTCCTATCTGTCGGAAATCCCCGCTCCTGTGCAATGTCTGAAGGGATTTTTATGGCTCGGGATGGTGGAAAACTGTCGGAGAAGGGTCTCACAGCCGCTACGTATGTTTAGTCTGCATGGTTGACCTGATCGAATTGCTAGAGATGGAGAAGATAAGACAAAAAACTGTACGGTACATGCATGTGTAGTACAATAAAACTCAAGGGTCCGAAAGAACCCCGAGAGGGAACAATGGGTATCATATTCGCTCTAATCAAATGCTAAAAATGCACGGGCTTCCACTCCTGTCCGGGATAGGACGTGGGGGACATGACGATCTCCTCACTGGAGCGGTCTGCGGTGATGGCAAGCTCTACTGGCTGAGGTGGGTTGTTGACTACACGGACCCGGTCCTCACTGCGATGAGGATGCGCGGATATCGCGTCTGAGATGGCGATGTTGCGGGATGCATGGTTGTCCAAGGCCGGGAATACCGAGTATGTAACCGCTGGCTTTTGGGATTGAATGCTGAGCCGAGGAGCCAGGCTTTGTTGGTTGGAATTGCCTGGTAATTCGTGTTGTTGCCCGTGGTTTGACGCCTCGGATATATCCCCGTATAGTTCGTGTCGAAGGGGCCCCCCATGAATGTGCTCCTTGTCTTCCTCATCGTCCCGCTGCTCTTGGTTTTGGTCTTGGGTGCCTTGCTTGTGCTGCTCCTCTCCCTGCAGTTGATGTATTTGGTGGTCTGGTAACTCCTCCAACGGTGACTGTGGACGTGGAACTCTATCCTCGTAGAATGACCTGGGAGACGGTGACCGGGAATGACTTGGGAGAGGCGGGCCGAGTGTGCCAGCAGGGTGAGACCCCGGGGATTCATTCATGGATTTAGGTTGAAACTGCGAGTAAAACCGACTGGTCGCCAGAGAGGATGACAAGCTGGGTGGGCGTGGAGTCGGCAAAGGCTTTTGGTCAAATGGATTGCTGAGGACCGGTGGTCCATCCTGTGTAGCGAGACTAGTATTCACATTTCCACTTGGCGACGGGTGCGTCGGCGAGTATTTGTTCTTCAGCTGCTCCGACATGGTTCTTGTGTGGTCTCTCGATTTTCTCTCAGGGTCGTGGGAGTCTTGCCGGCCAAATAGTCCCTGTTTAAGTCAGAAAAAGGAAACAAAAGAACTGTCCAAGTTGACATACGCTAATTCTGCTGAACCGTTTCCGCTGACCTCCCGGGGGCGCCTGAGGCCCTTGCGGTTGAATACCAGAGAGGAGATCTCCCACAGAAGCGCGTCGTCGTCTCCCAAAGTCCTTCAGTTTTCCAATAGTAGATCCCCCATTCTCTGCAGGAGATCCCGATCTTGAAGCTTGTGAAAGACCGTTAGCAGGTGTGGACGGGCGAGTGCCTTTGCTATTGGCGCTGCGCTTTCCGAAGCTACCAAAGCTCAGCATACTGCTTCGGTTTGCCGGCGAGTATCTGACTTCATTTCTCAAGGGGCTTTGCACATCTGGAGCAGATGGAGGTGGGCCGTTGATAGATTTTCTTTTGGCTTCGAGAACCTCAGCAGAACTTGCGAACCCCGACGAATAGAAAGGTATGAAAGACCTTCTCTTCACTTGAACAGATGGCTGGTCATCCACAGAATGCTCAACCGGTTTATACCGGGGTTCTGGGGTTACCTCGTTTGCTGCATCTTGCAAAGGAGAAGGGGGATCCCTGTCAAGTTCTTCGTCAGATGTACGTCCGGCTTGCTCGTCAGCTCCGAGTGTGGAGACGGAGGGATGGCGTCTATAATCCTGGCTAGGTGCAAGCCCATTATCATTGTCCTTGGGAGGAGGTGGAGGAGGTTGAGGACTTTCATCAAGCACTGGACGGATCGACGGGGTAATAATCTCCGGTGTGGACTTGCTTGGCTGATGCCCCCGGCGGTTCGTAAACGGGAAAGGTACGTGAAAAGGCTCATTGGGAATGACTGGCAAACGATTTTCTACGACTGGGGCTTTGTTCGACAGCACGGATTGATTGCCAGTTGGGATCTCTCCTGGTTGCGGTATTGGCTGTGTGAATTGACGTTTCCCGCCATTTACCTGGCTAAATGCATTCAACGACATCGGTGTACTTGCCGCCCTTCGGTGGTGAGGATCTGTAGGCGAAAGACCAAGCGCGGCTATCATCTCCTGCTCTAACTCTCCAGTAAAGGCAGACTTCCCCGGAACTTCAGGTCTAGGAGGGACACCGCTGGAAGAGGACACTTGCTTCGGTTGCACAGCTGTCTCGCTAACACGGTTGTACGACGGGTAGTTTTCCCCCGACTTGGTCGCTTTGACAGGTTCGCTGGAATTGTGTTCATCCTGTCGATCTAGACAGAAACTGACCCCCGGTGGATCAGGATCAGAGCTGAGCTCGGTTCGCTCAGATTTGAACATGGGTAGACTGCCAATGGCGACAGAATTCCGCAGAGAAGAGTTACCAGACACCTCACCCGGCCTTGAAGGGAAGGATAAGTGAAAGCTGCGGCGGGAAGCACTTGGAGTTGACTGAACCTACAACATTACCAACATCAGAATGTAAACAAACAGGGGCGGAATGTTAGATTGTAGCAAGGAAAGACGCATCAATCGTGTCTCATTCTAGAGCTCAATGCGAAAGGTGCGCGGAATTACATCGTGGTATCCAGAAAATGAAGCAGCGCAGCGATATCGAAAGGGAAACATTAAAGCGACGGCCTCCACCGTGCTTACCCAAATAAACGACTCGCTCAAACGAAAAAAAAAAAAAAAAATCAGGCATCTACCTTCTCAGAACTGCCACTGGGTCGGAACCTGCTTCTGCCCTTAGCAAACAGCCCCTTGGCTGCTCCGGTAGCCTTGCCACTAAACGCTCCCGCAGTATGAAGGAGCTCCTTTCCTTTCTCCCCGACTTTCTCCTTGTTCATCACGGTACCCAGGTGGCCTGACGGACGTCGGATATGGGTGACACTAGTTGGAGCACCGTCATTCAAGGAACCGAGACCCCCAAGAGCACCTAGCTTAGGGAATCTGATGCGCGAAGGGTCTGGCACGGTAGGGGAGAGATTCTGGCTCTGTTGGACCACGTCGGCATACTCTGGGTGATCATGAACCATAAACTCTAGCCAATGATTCAAACCAGTATCAACGGTGGCGAACTGGTCGCGGGTGTGTTCGAAAGACTTGATACGCTGGTTGATAGATGTGATACCGATGATTTCACGGAAACCCAAAAGTTTGGATTCATCAAAGGATGAGCTGCCGGCGTTAGAAGAGATATGGAGGGGCGGAGGTGGCGTAGCTCCTGGCCCCATGATTTGCTCCGGTGGTGTAATGTTCTGCGGAACAGGTGGAACAATCGAAAGTCGAGGCCTTTCTACAGCACGCTGAGTAGTTCCTTCTTCATCAGAAGCAAGCGGGTCGTGCGGCACATCCGACAAGAAGACGGGCTCCTCACTTATCGGCTCAGGCTCTTGCATAGATAACGATGTGTCTAAAGGAGGAGGCGACGAATAGCCGCCGGGCATTTGAGGCGCCTGTATTTCTGCCGAATCAGAGGATTCCCACGAAAACCGTCTTTCTAATTTGGGCTTCTTTAGCGGATCAACGTTCGTGCCATCCGCGCCTTGACTGGTCGCATAAGGGTCTTGAGACACCGAAGGAGCCAGGTTAGTCCAGTCTGGCTGGCTTTCGGAAAACAACTCAGCGGGTGCCTGCGATTGAGGTTGGTTGCTGGGCGGGTCCTCCGAGGGGGTGGCTTCCCGACTTAATGATCGGATAATCTCCTCCCTCAAGCGATCATTGTCGGTATTCTGGGGCGATTCCTCGGCTCCCATGATGGTGGGGATTTCGCCATGGAAGGCGTCAGAGCCCGATGCGCTTCCGAATTTGAGAGGGGCAGGCATATCCTGCCCATTGTTCGAGTATGATTGCATCAGTGCGTTCGGAGGAGAGATTCCCTCATCAGATGATTCTGGTGAGAGATTCTGGAGTAGAGGAATGGAGGATAATTCTGCACGGCCCGCCGTTGGGGTGTCCTGGTCTGTGAATTGGGGCTTCCTCGAAGGACTGTTGTCTGAACTAGGAAGGCTCAGGTCCCGGCGATGACCTAGGTTTAACGCTGGAACCGCATTGGCAGTTGCCTTCGGGGAGTTTGACTCATTCGGTTCCTCGAGAATGGTAGGTGTTCTTTCATCAGTCATAGTACGACTGCCCATGATAGGGCTGATCGTCGAAGTGCCATCGCTGTTCGACCGTGTGAAACTAGTGGCGGTAGATTGTGGAGTTTCTGGGACATCAAAGGCCTGATTCACTACCGATCGGAATCCCGTGGAGGAGTTGTGATGCAAATAGGGCTCCTGAGATGCAGAGCTATCCTTCGGCGGGTTGGAGTCTGCACCACCCAAGAAATCGGTACCAAAGCTAGATACGCGCTTGACTTCCGGTAGACCCAAATCGAGCTTTTGTTGATCTGTTTGAGGTGGAACTCCAAACCCGTCAGGCTTGGGATCATTGCTACCAGTGATAGGATACTGCTGTGCGGCTTTCTCCTCGCGCATGCGTTTATAGAGGTCGGCCGGCCTTACAAAGGGCAGGGCCTTTTGGTCTCCTCCACTAAGATTCCTACCTTTGTTATCAGCCAAGTGCGACTCGCCAGCTCCGAGTCCGATGCTAGACAAACGCCTCGAGGACAACTCGGATGAGCTGCCAGTGTTGCGGGTGACATAGGGCGGCCGATGTACTACAGGAGGCGCCTCCTCCTCTTCATCGTCGTCGTCGTCGCTACCCCAGTCACCTCCATCATAAGAATATTGCTTCGCTTCCACCCAGCGTTTTGTTTTGGAGCGGTTCACGTTTGTTTGGAATGAGATCGGGGTTCCGCTGCCTGACGAGAGCGGACTGAGCACAGTTGGCGGGGAAGGGCTAAAGCAGGTCTTAGTATTTGAGAACTAGATATGCGACTAGATTTGGATAAATGGTCTTACAGTTTTGGGGCTCCATGGCCCTGCGATTGGGTTGGGTCTGCCATTAGGGAACAGGATCAAGGTACTGAGTCGCGCGCGATCACCAGCATCGACTGTTGCCTGGTGGTCTCTGATAATTTTGCGCAAGAGAAAGTTGTAAGTGTTAGAGAAGAATGTGAGCAGCACCGTTCTCTTAATGATGTGTATGGGGAGAGAAAGGTGGCGATTTGGCCCAAGTTGGGCAAGCACCAATCAAATAGGTTGGGACAATTGGATGAAACAAGATGTACAAGAATGGCGTGTATCCACAGCGGAACACAAGATCAAGCCAGCTATATCAAGAAGAATAGAATAGCATTAGTATCATGAAACGAGCTAAGTTGTATATTCCCCCTGATCTAACGACGTCAAAGGGCTGAATTCGGGTGGCGGTGCGGGGCTTATGTAACGCGTTTCGGATTCCAAGGTTTAGTTACGTGGACGAACGGGGCTCATTGCGACAAGTCGACCTTGTGGACCTCGTTGGCCTTGATCCTCCATCTTCTTACTTGACTGTACGGAGTATATCCGGTCTGCTTTGTTCCTGGATTCAAGTCACGTTGTACCTCGGAGCTCTTTACCTGCAACCGGACACGTCTTCACCTCGCCCCCCTTATCGATTGCAGATAGATCACACTTCAGTTCCAAAACCGAGTTCGGCCTTTGTCGACATTAATTTACATTTGCTTCTCAATACTGGTGCTCCTTGAAAGACTATAGCTACTTGTCTCCCACGCTTCACATCTTCCACATCGCACAATGACCGGCCCGTCGATACAAGACAGGACCAGCGAGTTCAGCGCGATCTTGGGCCACGCCCAGAAGCGCCTGGGGACATCGAAAGTTGGTTCGCAGCGCCAGGCATTGTTGACTGATGCGCAAAGGCGACAAGCCAATGTGTCGCCCCAAGGTCCCGTACAGGAGGCGAAGGCGGCAAGGTCGGAGTTCGCACGGCGGGCGCGAGATATCGGAAGGGGGATAACTGGAACAATGGCAAAATTGCAGCGATTGGCTGAATGTAAGTCTGGTCACGTCGCTCAAAATGCCAGCAATCTAACGAGGAAACAGTGGCGAAGCGGAAAACACTCTTCGACGACCGACCTGTCGAGATCTCCGAATTGACATACGTGATTAAGCAAGACCTTGCCGCTTTAAACCAAAACATTGCCTCGCTGCAGGCGCTCACCCAAGCGCAACACCCCAAATCGAATCGCTCGAAGACAGACCAGGAGGGAGAACACAATGACAATGTGAGTGAGGCATGGGAAAGGCCGCGCACGGACAATTCGCTGATTACCCATTTCAGGTTGTTGTTATGCTGCAGGGAAAGCTGGCCGATGTAGGCGCTAGTTTCAAAGAGGTACTGGAAGTCCGCACGAAGAATATTCAAGCATCCCGAACTCGAACCGAGAACTTCGTTTCCTCGGTATCATCCAAATCACACAGCGCCCTCGACGCACAGCGCTCAGACTCGCCTTTGTATAACACCGCGGGACGACGGACACCTCAGCCCGGATATCAAGGCAACTCCTCCGACCTTTTGACCCTCGAGCCCTCAAACCCTTCGCCATTGGGGCGTCCGTCCTTCCAATCAGATCAACAACTGATGGTAATGGAAGAAGGAGAATCGAGTAATACATATGTTCAAGCTCGAGGCGAAGCCATCGAAGCCATTGAGCGAACTATCAGCGAATTGGGTGGCATTTTTGGTCAGCTGGCGCAGATGGTTAGCGAACAGTCAGAAATGATTCAACGCATAGATGCCAATACCGAAGATGTGGTCGACAACGTCCAGGGAGCACAGAGAGAACTAATGAAGTATTGGACGCGTGTCTCCGGCAATCGCTGGCTCATTGCCAAAATGTTTGGTATTCTGATGGTATGTTCACTCATTAAATTTCTTGTCTGCTCATACTAATGACCGTTATAGATTTTCTTCCTTCTCTGGGTCCTGATTTCGTGATAGACATGATATCTGCCCTTTTTTCATGCTGTACTATAATACCTGGCCCGTGTGTTTCGACAGATCATGGCCTTTCTGCATATCTGCACTCGCTGAGCATTTTCATGTCTTTTACTGCCTGGCTAGACTCTGGGATGTCTAATTCATCACGCTCTTTATCTTCGTTTCTACTTTTTTCTGTGCTCTGTGCTCCTTGTTGCTTGGGACTGTGTCCTCATGAGCCACACGCGTAAATACACCTCAAGTACTATTGGAATTCAATGAACCGAGATCATGCGATAACCATGAATCACTTCTACATTTTGAAGCCAGTATTCATTCTATTTATATCACGCATCAAACTGCGTCATCACATTCCACAGTTCCGACTCCGCCCACCCCAACGAGGGCTGATTATCGAACAATTCCCACACAAGACTGTCATCCCATCCCCCCACAGACGGTGGCGCAGTGAGTTCTCCAGTGGAATCTGCACCCCCAAGACTGACAAAAGCCGGAGGGTTATTGTCAGCACGGCCAAATATATCTGTGTAGGACGCAATATTGCCCTCGGTGTTTCCAGCTGTGTTCGCTTCAGGGAGTGCAGCTTTTGGCTGTTCTAAGCGGGAAGGTTCGGGGTTCCCTTTGACCAAAGGTGCACACAGGTCCAAAAATTTGGAGAATAGCTTGTACAGCTTGCCGATCGAGGCATTCGCCTCTGCGAATTGATGTAGGTCTCCGGTGATGTTTTTGATCATATTGAAGTCTTTCTCGTTTGATGTTGCGATCACATTGCAGAACAGGACAAAGAACGGTGCTAGAGGAAATAGCAGCATTGTCCTGTTAAAGGGTCATTAGTTTCGATTGTAAGGTATTAAAAGTGGCTTTAAAATAGCTCTATCATACCAGGTAAGAAAGTATGGATAGGAATCGATAGAATTGATGCGACTTGAGCATGCTTCCTGTAAAGCTCGGAGAGTGGAGAGGGCTTCTCGGGCTGTGTACAGACAGTTCTCGCAAACCAGGCGAGACTTGAGTACCGAGGAGCGGGCTTGGATGATGGTCGTGAGAATAGAGTAGTAGTTGAAGTCAATTGATAGCCATTCGCGCCGCAGATGGCTCCATGATTGTGGGAATTGCTGTTCTTGGTGACGACGAGACTGAAAATTGGGTTAGCGGTTATGCTGGCGGATCCTTGATTTCTCTTACTGTTTGCATATTGGAGTGGATTATTTGTGCCCGCGCCACAAGATCAGACAGTATATTGGCCTTCTCCGTGTCTCCAGTTGTCTTGTTATCGAGCAATATGTACAGTAGAGTATTCTTCAGCTCTGAATACTCCACTATGCCTGTCATCATAGTAGATGTTGGTAGGTCAGGGTCGATGTGGATCAACTTGGTTGGTTTGACTTTCAGATCAGGTAGAGACGGTGGTCGGAGGAGCAGGAGGCTGAGTGTTTTGTCGAAGTAGTAGCACATGTACACACTAGCGTGAATATTTTCCTCTATCTGACCTCGAGGACTGGTATCTGTGATGTTGTGATAGTTCAAGGAAACAATCATCCGTGACGCTAGTGCTGTCAACATCCAGCAGCGTGTCATGTCTCCTAAATATTGCATCAAACGGGTCTGTCGTGAGTCAGAAATGAGTCAATGTATATAAAGCCACGCGGAAGAGACAGGAGAAACATACTGCAGACAGAACCGATTGAAGCAAAAGAAGACTAGGTTCAGCTGCGAGTGGAATTTGATTCAAAATCTCTGTGGCAGCGACTTCATACCTCTTCTTGAGTGACCGAAAATGATTCCTCAAAGGCTCGCTTATAATGAGAGGGGCCATTTTTGATATACAAATCATGGCCTTCACCCAGACAATGATCCGGTAATGCTGGAGCACTTGCTCACATTCTGTGCCCTCGATAATTGCAAGGCCCATTTGCTCTAGTACTTTGTCGGAGATGTGATCAGGCCAATTGATTGTTCCCTGAGAGTTGGTTTTCTTATCGGGTCCTATGATGATCAGTATCACTGACATCTGACCCATTCTCGAAACTTACCAGGTAGCATCATGTAGAGCAATTCCGGTGTGAGAGTAGGTGGTTGTATGGTTTCTTGAACATCCATATCAGGCATAGCCGCAGTCTCCTCCCAATATAGAGTCGGATTGGATAGCTGACTGACGAACTTGCGCGCTGATTCAAGTGCCGTGCGTCTATCTTTCGACAGAGCAGGGTTGCATTGGAGTTCATGCTCAATGTACTCTCTAGCCTCACTCGCGTGATGTGTTGAGCCAGGAGAATGTGCCTGGTGCGCCACACTCTGAGACTTGCGGTGCTTACTTGGTGGTGCCTGCAGGGCAGCTGTGTCATGGGGCTCATATGCTCGATATCGCTTCTGATTGTCGTTGAGAACTTCAGTATTACTTGTTAGGTTGCCCGAAGGCGAAGAAGACGTTGTGCTAGTGGCGTAATTCCTTGCTGGAAAGTATATTGCCTCTTTATTGCTTGACTCTTCTAGCCTCGCCAACCTTTGGGACAATGTCTCCAATCTTGAAATGTCAGCTATAGATTTTAAAGACACGCATCGTGAATTGCACGTACCGAGAGACCCGTGGTCTATGAACTCGTGCCTGGCGATTGCGGAGACATTCTGCACCTGCATCGGTACAGTTCATGCAAGGGTCCTGGCGATCGCATTTCACCTACTCCATACAATGACCCGATATAAGCATCTGTCAAAGAATCATATGTGAAAAACGAATGGTTATACCTTCCGAGTATGACATAAATCGCACTGGTAGCCGATTAGCTGAGCTACATTATGTTTGTTTTAGAAACAGCCTATGCCTTTCGCGACGACATTATTCAGGCAAACTTACCGCAGACATATTGATCTCGGAACTCGCAACGGAATTTCGGAATCAAGGTATATTAATTAAGCACTGGGGGAGAGAAAGGTGTCGGTTGAAGTTGTGTGCTCGGCGCCCGAACTGCCGGGAACCGAGCGGAAGCGGTTTAGCGCGGAGCTTCATCTCACAGGCGCGATATATTTTCTTATTAGTATTATAGCTAGAAGGATAAGAGGAACTAATTGTATAGTATATCCAAGAGTATATCCAAGGCGAAAGGAGTATAAAATGTGATTTACAATTTGCATTGAAGACTTTTGTACTATTCCAAGCTATCATTCGTCATAACAATCATAGCAATATTCACATTCCAATCTCACAATGGACCCGTGGAGAACGTGCAATTCTGAGTCCTGAACGGTATGCGGAATAGCCCCTCGTCGGTCCATCTCATTTTGTGCTGCTTGGAACCATATATGGTTTATTTTTGGCTCGAGGTCTGATTGTTCGCCATGATCACCGAGAGACGCATTGTACTCGTTCAGATCCCATCGCATCGCCCACAGAAACTCCTTTCTATGAGACCACGTGGAATCATGCTCGCCCTTTCTTTTTCTTTGGTTATCCTTCGCGATGGAAACAAAGAAGCTAACGATTCTCTCCATGGTGGAAGTGGTGAGAAGGAGACTAAACCAGCTTTTCGCGGAGGAATGGGGGATTTCCGGGCCCATCAAGCGCTGGACCGTCGAAAATAGAAGTTGCATGCAGTGGTGGGTCGACAGAAATATATGTGTATCGTCAAAAGGCGCATTACGGAGAATTGATTGCTGTCTTTCAATAGAAGATGCCATATTTTTGTGGCGATGACCCGAGTGATCAGAGTCAGAGTCTGAAGATGCGGATGATTCTAAGAAGAATACTGCGTAGGCTCTATATTCGAGTTAGTAAGCTTCCAAGAAATAGTACAGTGGGGCCATACATCGGATACAAAAGCTTGGCCTGGAGCGAGGCTACAGCTTTACTGTAGACAACTTCTTTCTCTGTTTGGGAAGACGACCACAAATGCTGCGCAATTGTACTGGTCTCCAGATGATGTGCGACCACATGATCAGCCAGGTGGTGGGAGAGTCGGATGCAAGTATTCCAGCATCGTTTCAGATCGCCGAGATACCCCAGAGAATAACTAGCATTGTCATGAGCCACGCCTTTGCTATAATGAGGAGGTGGCGGAGGAAATAGCTCGGAGACGAAGGCAATATCATCACCCGGCGACAGGCTGCCATCAATACAATGGCCTGGATGCTTCTGTTTTCGGAGTTGAATATATGCCCATGCTATGGCAAATTCCAGCTTAGAAACCCGGCCATGGAGCGCTCGACAGGAAAGAGACAAAGACCCAATATCCTTCAGATCACAGGATGCTAGGATCATAACAAAGATATGAGATGGGAGCCGCTCCCATCCCGAAGCTTTGGACGCTTTCGACCCAGCTGACATCGAGCCCCGTTTACCCCTTCGAAGGACCGTTCGGACTCGATGGATAAAATGCGTATGTGTCATAGTTCATACTTTTGGTGAATTATTTGAGATATTCTTTCATGTACCTCCGAAATCTTTGAGATGAAACCGTAAATAAGACAAATGGATGATAGAAACTTAGATGGAATGGCTTCAGCTGTGATTTGAGTGTGCCCAGACTGTAAAGACGCAGTTAAAGGACCGAACAGAGTACTGCAAAAACACCATTTGATCCTTTCGAGCGAAGATGTGGAGTTTGAAACAACCGAGATTGGGATGATGCCGGTGATGTGGACCTCATGCCTTATATTCAAGGCATCAGGATCTCACGGACATCTGCCTTCCCGATCCTTGTCCTTTCCTCTCCTCAATACCACCAGAGATCAAATTGCTTAATCAAGCATGCTAGTCATCAATGTCTAGCTGGGTTGTTTTTCAAAGAGTGCTGCAGCGATGGTTTGTCTAACTAGCTCCTTGGATGGTGGCCGGGCAATGGACTCGCCATCCAAACAACCCGCATCGTTCGCATGCGTGGTCTGTCACGATCGGAAGGTCAAATGCGATAAACAAGACGCATGTAGTCCCTGCTCAAATTGCGCCAAGGCGAATGTGGAGTGCATCTACCGTGCTCCACCACCGCCTCGTCGCAAAAGGGACCGAGGGACAAATGAAAGTATGTCTCAAGGACGCGGAAAATACCTTAGACGCAACACGGAATTCGAAAGAAATCCATCATTCACTCAGAATCATCATGATTCTGCGGAGGGAAAGCAACGGATTGAAGCAGGGAAAAGTGGATCTGGGAGGATGATCACGAAAGATGGCAATTCCATCTATCTCGACACGTGAGTTGCTTTGCGCTGCATTTGACCTAATGTCAAAGTTGAAGTTCTGACTTGCACATCAGCGATCTTTGGACCAGTGTTAGTAATGAGGTTAGTATTTTCTGACTGCCGCGTGCTGTCGATGCTGACCATCTTTGCTAGCTCCCAAATGCAGCGGACGTATTGGGGGATGGATCGGATGGTGGTACCGATGACTTTTCCCAGGATGTGAGCGACGATTATGCGATACTATCGACATCTGCAAAAAGAGACATTCTCATAGAACTCCACCCAAGCCCCCTGAATATCTTCAAGTTGTGGCAGGCATTTCTCGAGAATGTGAACCCACTCACCAAAATTATACATGCCCCAACTGTGCAACAACAAATTTTGGACGCCATGAGTGATCTACCAGGAGTAAGCCGGGAGGTCGAAGCATTGATGTTCGCAATATACTGCATATCGTTGATTTCCTTGCAAGCAGAAGATGTCGAGAAGTCATTCGGAGAAAGCAAGAAAGCCCTCCTATCAAGGTGCAGACGAGGAGCGCAACTCGCCTTCAAGAATGCATCGCTTCTTCGCACATCAAGCTCAGTGGTTCTCCAGGCGTTCATGCTATATTTAGTATGTCTACATTCCTTGAGATCTAATCCCTTTCTAACGATGTTTAGCTCTGCATGCGCTCGTTCTCTGACCCACATACTGTCTGGACATTATGTGGCATTGCAGTAAGAATCGCGCAACGAATTGGGATTCACCGTGACGGGGCTGCACACGGACTTTCAGTATTCGAAACCGAGATGCGTCGTCGCATCTGGTTCCAGCTCATGATCATAGATGGCACATCTGCACAGTTCTGTGGTGTAGCAGCATCGCCGCTCCCAACCACAATCGATGTCCAACCACCAATGAATGCAAATGATAGTGACCTCGATCCTCGCATGACAGAGCCAGCCTATGAGAAGCCAGGACCGACAGAAATGATGTTCGTTCTGGCTCGGAGTGCATTTGGAAAATGGCTCTTTCGTGTGTCAAGCCAGGCTGAGAATTCTAATACTGGGCCATGGGCCTTCTTATCATCGTCATCGATGCCCTTGAAGGACAAGGATAAAGCAATTGATAGACTGGAAGCACACATGGAAGATACGTTCTTTCGACACTGCGATAAATCCATCCCGCTACATATAGCAACGACAATGATGGCGCGTTCAGCTATATACTATACCCGGCTGATGGCACACCATCCTCGTCTATACAAGGATCCCAACAACATCTCCCAGGCAGAGAGAAGGATCATCATCGAGAATTCCCTCAAGATGATAGAGTATGCTGACTACGCCCAAAACAATCCAGTCGTACGGAAATACTCGTGGCACATGGTGAATCACATGCCATGGGACGCCATCATATTCATGCTCACGGGGATGCGGCACTGGACTGATTCCGAGGAGAAAGACAAAGTCTGGCAATTGATTGGAAATGTGTACTCTGGGCATATTGGAACGATGGGCAAGAACGCCCCAACACCTCTTCACATGGCCATTGAGAATTTAATTGTCAAGACCTGGCGGAAGTACATTGACGAGTGTAACCTCAACCACCGCACACCAACGCCTTGTCCAACCATCGTTGAATCCTTGCTAGCCAAAGCAGCAGGAATTTCTAGTTTGCAACAGAAAGATGAAAACTTAGAAGCTGTCGAGCGAGGTGTTAGACCACAAGATCAATCCAGGCACGACCGTTCTAGTTCACAATTTGGACTAGATGCCGAAAACTTCGACTTCCTGCTTGATGATGGCCCGAAGACTTGGAATGATTGGGACAATCTTCTCGGCAACTTCGAAGGTTCTTTTGCAGATGATGCAACATATTTGTCGTGACATACGACGCTGATTGCTCAAAGTTCGTACACCCACCATTTCTAGCGAATCAAGATGTATGGCAGCAATTATCGTATTCGAAATCCAGGTGGACCCCAAGTTGGAGAGTCTTGCGTGCCAAGGTACACCGAGCATATAGTAAATGCGATATTTTACGACCTTATGTCTCAACAGCCAACGCTGTTATTTTATTTCTGTACTTGTCGATAGCTATTGATAAGCATTTTTAGTAATATATCTCAATTTCTAATAAATAAAAAATTGTAATGTTATAGTCAAAATATATGTACGATGCTATGAGCTAAAAATATATATATCCTCATCACTACATAGTTCATTCAAGTTTCCGAATTCCATAAAGTGGATAGATATAATATGAAAAGCATTAGTCCACAAGAAAAAGTCAATAATAGCTACATGTAGATAGTTAGTGGGTGTTGCGATATCATCTTCGCATTACTATGTCTTAGTGTCTAGCTCGGCTTCATTTTCACCTGCTAAGTTGAACTAGGTAACTATTGACTACTCCGTAGTTAACAAGTTCGATAACAGTTTGCTTATTAAGTCTCTGATTTGGAGTCCCAGTCTAAGATCATCTTGAAAACGAGGCGCTGGTCGGTATACATCTTCGAACTCGCGCCGATCGGCATGCGACGCTCCGATGCCTCCACGTGTCTTGGCGTCTGCGATCCTCGGGGTCGGCGACTAAACAGCCGACCAGCGATGATCATCAACATTTTTTGGAGTCATGTCTTTACACAGCGCTGGTATGTGCTTGGTCAAATTTCTATTTAAAGTCGCGTTCCGCGCGGTGCCGATTTTGAATATGACTACCAATTTCCCACCTGCAATCGCCTGAGCACGGTATTCTGCCATCAATTCCACCTACAAAACCCCCAAAGATCGTTCCAAGATGAAACCCAAAACGGATGTTCTCATTGTCGGCGCAGGCCCAACTGGCCTTGTCCTTGCTCTGTGGCTTCACCATCAAGGTGTCAATGTCCACATTTTCGACCAGGCGGAGGCCCCGGCGCAGAACTCCCGAGCGATCATTGTCCATGCGCGCATAGTCGAGCTGTATAGACAACTTGGATTGAGCGAAGACTTGCTGAAACTTGGGTACAAGCTGCCGGCCACGAATCTCTGGGTTTATAGGCAGCGCAAAGCGCACGTCCCGCTGGAAGACTTCGGTCGCGATTTGACTCCGTACCCGTTCATGCTCAGCGTACCGCAAGACGACCACGAAAGGATGCTCGAAAAGCGACTGAATGACGTGGGCATCCATGTCGAGCGAGGGTCGAAGTTGCAAGGCTTTGTGGACCACGGGTCTAGCATCACTGCCACCTTGTTCCGCGAATCTGATGGCAGCTCAACCACACACGAAGCATCGTACATAGTGGGCTGTGATGGGGCGCACTCGGTTGTTCGCCACGGGATTGGTGCCAAATTCGAGGGCGAAACGTACAAACCGCTGTTCTATATCGCCGACGTCGAAGGCAAAAGCGAGAAGCATTTCAACGGCGAAGGGAACGTGGTGTTCACCAACGACACTTTCAACCTGGTTGTCCCGTACAACAAAGCCGGCCATGTGCGATTGGTTGGTATTATCATGCCGGATGAAAACGACAATGACAACTCTGAATCGCTAGTGCATCAGCACCAGATCACGTTCGACGACGTTCGACCCCAGATCATGCAAGCCATGGATATCGATATCACCAAGGTCAACTGGTTCTCCACCTATCGCAGTCACCACCGTGTGGCCGACAAATTCCGCAGCAATCGGGCATTCCTTGTTGGGGATGCGGCTCACATCCACAGCCCAGTCGGCGGGCAGGGCATGAATACCGGTATCATGGACGCGATCAATTTGGCGTGGAAGCTCGCAACGGTCCTAAAGCAGACAAACATGAGCGAGGATGCACAAAACCAGCTTTTGGATTCATATGAGAACGAACGCCGCTCATTCGCTATGATGATAGTCAAGTCCACCGACGCGGGCTTTACCACATTGACGTCAAAAGGAATCTTCCCACACATTCTTCGAAATTGGCTGATTCCGTACCTTGTGCCACTGCTCTTGAAACTTGATTTTGCCCGGACTAGAATCTTCCGCGGTGCTTCTCAGCTCGTTTGCCACTATAGGGGCAGCAGTCTTTCTCAGACTGGAGAAGGGGCCGTGCAGCCTGGCGACCGTCTCCCATGGGCTGCAATCAACGAGGTGGATAACTTTTCAACTCTGCGAGAAGTCTGTTGGCAGCTCCATATCTATGGCGAATCCCTACCACAAATTGAAAAGTGGGCCCAACAGACGAGTGTGAAGGTCTTCGTCTTTCCCTGGCAGGATCAATATGCCAATGCTGGGCTGATCGAGAATGCCGTTTACTTGCTGCGACCTGATCAGTACATTGCAGGGATTTTCAAGGACCCCTCTGTTGAGGGGCTGAACGAGTACTTTGCTACTCGGGGGTTGTACCTAGGTCGAGACTAGACTGTAAATACCAGCTCTCTCCACTATCCAGTTCATCAGCTTGTACCCTGAGACCACGTGCATTGCCCTCGCATGTTACCGGTAATTTCCCGTTTGAGATGCGGAATATCATGTACATTTCCAATCTAGTCGACTCCCGAAGTGCACCAAGTCACAGCTTGTGAACGGGACATGGGGGCCACATGGTCTGCACACCCCTACGGCATGCCAGAGAACCGGAGTGTGATTGGTGACTTGGCACATATTAAAGCCCGTTGACGCCCGCTGTGATTGGTGTACCTGTGGGGCTAACCATGTTCCCCTACTGGGGTGGGTCTGTGGGAGACCCCACCTATACTTTCGCAGGGCATTCTCCCCGGCACTCGTTCTATGTGGCATCCAATCTGTATACGACAATTGATAATTACCGACAGCCTCCGAGTTGTTTCAAACTCCACCTATGTTGTGTCGGGCATAGTCGCTTACACCGTTGATCGGCCGCTGAGAACTCCCCGGGTGAACATGTGGCAGCGACGGCGGCTTCTCATTTGCTCGAGCGTCTAATTCCAGGTACAGGGCTCGAATGCCAAGCGTCTCTCCTGATGCATTGGCATGTAGGGAGGGAGATATAAAAGCCTTGCGACCACCGAGGGAAATGATCTTCGTACTCACCTCAGTCCATCTCTCTCTACCACACTTCCCGGCACGATGAAGACCACCGCTCTCATTTCCCTGATCGGCCTGTCCGGCACCGCCCTTGGTGCCGCTGTGGACAAGCATACCAGCACCCCCTTCGGCTACAAGCCTGGCTCCAAGGAGTCCATTGCCAACATGAAGGACAAGATTGAGAACGTTGTCTGGATCCTTCTCGAAAACCGTGGATTTGACAACATTCTGGGTGGAGTCAAGAAGCAGGGTCTGACCAACGTTGTCAACAACGGTCCTTTCTACAACCTGCAGAATGTCAGCGACCCCCACAGCACCAAGTGGCCCAGCCAGTACAAGAACTACGACTCGGTGATCAACGATCCCGATCACTCGCTCACTGGTACCAACTTCGAGCTCTTCGGCCAGTACAACCCTGACAATGCCGCCATTGCCAACGGTACTTTGACCCCCAACCTGTCTGGCTTTGTCGAGCGTCACATGCTCGCCCACCCTAAGATCTCTGCCCAGCGTGCTGCTGACGAGGTCTTGGGATACTACTCCGAGAGCCAGATCCCCACCATTGTTGACATGGTTGATGAGTTCACCACCTTCAACAACTGGCACTCTTGTGTCCCTGGTGTAAGTACCTTCCGTGGTGCACATTAAACAAACATCAAACTGACCATCAATTAGCCTACCAACCCTAACCGTCTCTGTGCGGTCTCCGGTTTCACCGATGGCCACGGAAAGAACGACAATGATTTCGATGTCTCCGCCATCGAGACCGGCAGCATCTTCCAGACTGCCTCTGAGAAGGGCATCTCGTGGCTCAACTACGACGGTACCAACGGTGCCTTCCTCTCCGATGCCATGTTCTTCGACTGGACCGCGAAGAACGCCAAGAGCAACGTCGTTCCCCTCGAGAACTTCTACCAGGACGCCTACTTGGGCGTCCTCCCCCAGTTGTCCTACATCAACCCCTCCTGCTGTGGCCTGAACACCAACTCCATGCACCCCTCCGGCAACATCTCCTACGGTGAGGTGTTCATCAAGCAGATCTACGACGCCGTCCGCACCGGTCCTCAGTGGGACAAGACCCTTCTCCTCGTCACCTTCGATGAGACTGGTGGATTCTTCGATCACGTTGCCCCTCCCCTTGCCGTCCGCCCTGACAACAAGACCTACACCGAGAAGGCCTACGATGGCAGCTCTTACACTTTCAGCTTCGACCGTCTCGGTGGCCGTATCCCTACCTGGTTGCTCTCTCCTTACACTCCCAAGGGCCACGTCGAGGGATACGGTACCGACCCCGCCACCGGCAAGACTACCTCTTACAGTGCTACCTCCGTGCTCAAGACCCTCGGTCTCCTGTGGGATCTTGAGGACAGCAGCCCTCGTGTTCAGCACTCTCCCTCTTTCGATCACCTCATTGGACCTCGCATTCGCTCTTCTCCGAAGACCCTTGCGAACCCCCACATCTTCCCCACTGATGTTTAAGAGGTGCTCCTACAGAGTGGCACTGGCTTGATGAGATTAATCTTCCGCAAGTTGGAGCTTATAGACACGCGCTGCAGATTTTGCAGCTGATTTTCTACTAGTCTGGTTGTTTCTAGTTGTTTGAGTACAGTCAAAATATAATACAAAAAAAATGTTTTTAACTTCTTTTCAACTTCTTTCAAGTGTCTTTCCAGATGTTCTTAGTTATATGTCTCTTGGGATAATAAGCCGAAAATTATAGAGCATGGTGAAAAGCACAACTCGGACAAGGCTGTTAGTTCAGAGAAAGTTCAGCAGGAATCAGCTACTATATTTTGATCAGTATCTCAGCTCTTCTATGCCATTCTTGGCCAATTTCTTAGTTTGGCCGAGTGGAGTGGGGGGATTATTTAACCCCGACACGATTCGGCAGAATAACTTGGCTTTGTATACTCCGTACATACTTGATCCTTCATTGATGTGAGAGTAAATGTCTTGAACTCCCCTTGAAGCTCTTTCGCAATCAATTCTAGAGTACAAGTTATTTTATCATAGAACACAGCGAAAATTCAAGAGAGAAATATGCAAAATATACAAAAGTCCGGATTTGTGCCTAAGGCATCAACCCTAAACCCAATTGAGCCGTCGATCTGGAGATTCTCGAATTCCGCTCCGAGTTGACAATCAATGACCAATCTTCCCTACGAGTTCTCCTCACCCACAGCTTCACAACAATCAAAATGCCTTCTCCTATAAGATTGGCCAATGGGCTCCTAACCCGAGCCACCCGCAATATCACCCTCGAATCCGCCTCAACACAACGCATCCTCCCTCTCCTCCGAAGCAACACCGCACCACAATGCAGAGCCTACACCCAAGCACAGCGTCCACGATGCGACCAAAACATGCGCGCCATGGTCTCCACACAGAACAAATTCTCAACCTCCGCCTTCCGAGCAGGCCCCAAGACAATGGGCCAGATGCGCCAGCGCAACTCGACCGGCCCGTTCTCGTGGAAGGCCGCACTGCTCTTCGTCTTGACCGGCGCCGGCATGATGCTGTACTTCCGTGTTGAGAAAGCGCGTCTGGAGCGCAAGCGCATGACGGAGATGAGCAAGGGCGTTGGCAAGCCGAAGGTTGGCGGTCCGTTCGTGTTGAAGGATCTTGATGGGAAGGAGTTTACGGCGGAGGACTTGAAGGGCAAATACAGCTTTGTGAGTTGATCCGGAGGATGGAATAGAGAGCATCAATGGATTCAATGGATTCAATGGATTTGACATGTTGGAACGGTACTCGCTAACACGATCTCGCTTTATTTCTTCAGGTCTACTTCGGCTTCACTCACTGCCCTGATATCTGCCCCGACGAGCTGGACAAGATGGCCGAGATTATCGAGAAGGTCAAGGCTGCTACCGGGGATGAGAAGATCTTCATGCCCGTTTTCATCACCTGCGATCCCGTCCGTGATACGCCTGAGGTGCTGCGCGAGTATCTGAAGGAGTTCCACACTGGCATCGTTGGCTTGACTGGCACCTACGATCAGATCAAGCACGTGTGCAAGCAGTACCGTGTGTACTTTAGTACTCCCCGGGATGTGAAGCCCGGCGAGGATTACCTCGTGGACCACAGTATCTACTTTTATCTGATGGGTGAGTGCTGATAAGACCTTATACATAAACGTATGCTAACCTTTATCATAGACCCCGACAATGACTTCGTCGAGTGTATCGGCCGACAGGATACCCCCGAGTCTGCATCCAAGGTGATCCTGGAGCACATCAATGACTGGAAGAGAGAGGGGAAGCCACTCAAGACGGAGTAAGAGTCTCGCGTCAGGTGTATGTATGGAAATTGTACAATAGAATCATTCGAATATCTGAATACCCTACTCACGCCGGAACCGTGTCCCAATGTTCCCGTTTTTCGTGCTTTTGCTCGTATACTCGGGTATTGCGGCCAAGATCCGTCGAATATAGAGGCCCAGAAACCAATTAGTTTTAGGTTGGATGCCACCTGTAAAAGATAAAATCAGCATTACCCACAAGCCACACTCGAGAATACCACCAACCAGCCACCAAAAACATCCCTAAGCCCCCAAAACCCTCCCCTCAGCATCCCTCTCCGCATTAGCCCTCCACTCCATCCCCCCATCAACAAACTCCTCCCTCTTCCAAATCTCCGCCTTCTCCTTACAAGCCTCCAACACCTCCTCACCAGCCCTCCACGCCGCACCCCGATGTCCCGCACTAACAGCAATAGCAATCGAAGCCTCCCCAATCGGCACTGTCCCAAGCCTGTGCGCAATACTCACGCCCTCCAGCCCATGCGTCTTCACCGCGGCCTCGGCGATCCCCGCTAGCGTCTTCAGCGCCAGAGGCGGGTACGCTGTGTAGCTGAGCTGCGAGACGGAGCGGCCTTCGAAGGTGTCGCGCGTCGTGCCGAGGAAGAGGATGTTGGCGCCGGCGGCGGGTGAAGATGTTTGGGATAGGTAGGTGGTTGCGTCGAGGGTGTTGTAGGTTAGTGTTATGTGGATGTTTTGTGTTGTGGAGTTGTGGGTGCGTGGGTAGGTTTTTGGGTCGAGGTGAGCTGGGAGGGGGGTTGGGTCTTGGGATGGCATTTTGGGCGCGTTGATTTGGGAGTTCGGTATAACTGGGTTGAGGAAATGTTGTTTCAATTGTGGTTGGAATTGGCGTTGGAGTTGGAGCTGGGCTGTTCTGTTCCCCCTCGATGCTTATCTGCTGCGGGGACCGGATAAGAAGTGTCCCCCGATTTGCGGAGAGCAAGTCGTGGGAGTTGACAGCTTGTCTATGTTGGTTCTGTAATCTGGATTCTATGCTTGGATGTGTTCACGTCTCTTCATTTCAGGAAACAGTCTAGGTACAATTTATAGAGTATGCGGAAAATGGCTTGCCTTGTGGCCATCCTCAGCTCTCATATCAAACGAGCAATACAACAGCCTCAAAGGGCCGAAGTGTCCACTTCTCACCGGAGAATCGCTTGGAAGCCTCCTCAACACCTTCATAAGTATTGAGCAAGACCTCCTTCACGCTGGTGATACCGTTGCTCGCCGCATCCCACTCTAGAGTCTTGTCTGTCCAGTGGCACACAACCAAGGCTTTTTGATCGCCATACTGGCGAGTGTACGCAAAGACCTCCTGGCTTGGCTTGTCCAGAAGTGTGAAATCGCCATACACAAAGATATCAAGGTACTTCTTGCGCAGCTTCAGCACAGTCGCCCAGTAATGGTATGTTGAGTTGGGGTCCTTGATTTCCGCCTCGGCATTGACCCGCACATAATCGGTGTTGATAGACATCCAGGGCTTGACGCCAGGTCCGGTGAAGCCGGCATTCTCAGCAGCGGACCACTGGACCGGGGTGCGTCCGTTGTCGCGAGACTTCTTCTGATATTCTTGCAGGGCAATTGCTTGGGCAGCAAGGTCGTCCTTGGGTATTCTGTAGAATACTGTCAGCTAACGTCCACGAGTTGCACTAGGAAAGTGTCATTACCTTTTCCAGTGGTTCAGACAATCAATGTCTTTGTATTCTTCAATACCCCATTCCTTGGGCACATTTCGGGTTCCTATTTCCTGTCCCTGGTAAACAAACGGAGTACCAGCCTGCAATGCCAGCGCAGTAGCCAGCATCTTCGACGCGACCAGTCGATACTCCTCACTCGCATGCGCGAAGCGGTCAATAGAGCGTGGCTGGTCATGATTCTCCCAGTAGAGCGCATTCCAGCCATCATTGGCATACATAAAGGTCTGCCACCGCTCAAAGAAGTCCTTCAAGTCAGTGAGTTGCCAGCTGCCAGGTTCAAACTTATCAAGCTTGCCATGGTCCAGGTCAACATGTTCGAAATTGAAGATCATATTGATCTCATGGCGGTCGAATTGCACCGCACGCAGCACTTCCTTCTCGTCGGTGACGAACGGCATCTCACCCACGCTGAAGGCATCGTACTCCTGGAGAATCTTGCCCAGATCCTGGAGGTACTCGTGCAAGCGCGGGCCGTTGGCATACCACTTGTCGCCCCACTGCCAGGGTGTCCGCGGGTCCTTGATGGGTCCGTCGGGGAATCTCTGGTCCTTGCTAATGAAGTTGATCACGTCCATGCGGAACCCGTCGCAGCCCTTGTCGAGCCAGAACCGCATGATATCGTGCACGGCTTTGCGGACAGGCGGGTGTTCCCAGTTGAGATCGGGCTGCTCGACTGCGTACAGGTGCAGGTAGTATTCTTGGGTCTGCTCGTCCCATTGCCAGGCGCTGCCTATAGTCTTCATTAGATGGATGTAATTAACCGACGATGATAAAGTACGTACCCTGGAAATGAGAGACCCAGTTGTTGGGAGGCTGGCGGTTGCCTTGTTCGTCGTACTTAGCCGGCTTCCAGATGTACCAGTTACGGTACTCGTTATCCTTGGAGCTGCGCGCCTGCTTGAACCATTCATGCTGATCGCTGGTGTGGTTGACGACCAGATCCATGAGGAGCTTCAGACCCCGCTCATGGCATCCGGAAATCAATTTTTCAACATCTTCAACTGTACCGTACTCATCGGCAATGCTGTAGTAGTCGGAGATATCATAGCCCATGTCCACCTGCGGGGATTTATACGATGGACATAGCCAGACGATATCCACGGCGAGGTTCTTGATGTAGTCCAGCTTGGAAATGATACCGGGGATATCACCGATACCATCATCATTTGAATCCTTGAAGGATGCAGGCCAGATCTGGTATACGGAGCTCTCTTTCCACCAGGCACGGTGGTTGGAGTTTCCTGGTGTAGCCATGGCGGTTTGAATGCGGATGACAATTAAGAGATGAGATTAGGATATTCCGAGAGGGAGAAGAGGGATTTGGGATTCTGGAGCACTGCTGGCTATATATATGTGTTATTTGCTGTAAGAGATGTGTTGTTAAGGTCACTTGAAGCATGTCCCACCGTGGGGCAGATGCGGACAATTATCGGGGTCCTCAGCGTTTGATATGTTCTATGTCGGCCCGAGATCCCCTCAACGATTGATACGTCGTATGTCGGCCCGAGATCTCTCGACAGGGGTGAGCCGACGGAGTACTCTGCATGGGTTGAATCAGAAGCCAAACTGCTGTGGATCGTCTCCACCTAGATGACATGGGACTAACGATGATGCAACTGGACTGGATGGGTTCTTGGCGGACCATCTGATTCATATAAATTGATAATGAGAAGTAGAAGTATAGTTACTTGTTAAGACATCAAGTAAACTACTGTTTCCGAATTGAAAATTGCACTGCATACTTCCATCATACGATCTACAATCTCTACATAGATCTCAACATCATTGCATGGTACAAATTCCCACCTAGCGGGCTTTACGTTGAATTCCAAGCATTGAATTGAGCAAGTCTGCCTTATAGGGACTAATCCGGGAGGTTTCTGGAATCCTGTGAATGTTACATGTTCGCCTTGAGTCGGTTGATAGAAAATTGGGGGTTATTTTCGTCAATTCAGCTAGATCTCCAAGCCGTTCTCAAAACATCCGGAGAACGAATGCATATAGAATGCAGGGCAAGCCTTCAGAAACGCCGCTATACCTCAGACGAGTAGAAACGAGTCAAGACGAGGTAGAAATATAAAGAGACGAGATAGAAACGGCGAATCTCAAGGCGGTGTGACGGTAAATATAGCGGAATCGAGGTAAATCGAGAGCGGTGGATTGGCCATGTTATCGTTATCGTAGCTTCGATTATTCCATCTCCGGCTTTTGTAGGCGATCCTTTCGCTCAGTTCTCCTTTTAAATGCTCATCAACCATGGCGCCTCCGTACCGGAATGACAGGTTTTCTTCTGGCTCATCTAACCGACCGTTCCCTTCGCGAAATGATCGCGATGGCCGCATGTATGATGATCGATCCCGGTCTCGCTCGCCTGGTAAGCTTCTCCCCGCACGTCAATGGTGTTAAGCCCATAGACGCCTTCGGCACGGGCCCAATTTCTCCACATGGTATTGAATCGTGGCTAACTTTATTGTCATTTGAATCGATGAATAAAGGTGGTGCACGCTCCCCTCCTCGAAGACTAGCGGCCGACAGCAGACTCGAGTACCCCAGAGACCGAGAATCTGGACAAGGCTACCGAGGCCATGATCGAGATGATAATCGCCGTCGAACCTCGCGCTCTTCTCCTCATAGGGGCAGAAACGCGTACAAAGACCGCGATCGAGAGGGTTATCGAAGCGCGAGCGGCAATCGAAGCCGAAGTCGCAGCCCTCGTCGAGGTCAGCCGAATATGGGACAGGTGAGCCGAGAAGTGATGATGGATGGACTTCCGGTGGACATGACCGAAGAAGATGTGAGTCATTAAATCAATGCCCTGATCAGGCGTTAAATATCTCCATCGCCGAGGACAAATACTGACAATGCGCTCTATCATGTGCAATTAGATCGCGACTGAACTCAGCAATGCCTATCATACTGACGGCCTGGAAGATATTCGAGTTATTCGTGACCGACAAACGAGTATGTGAAAGAAACAGACCATTTGCAAACATGCGCATCGTTTTAACCTGATATTGTGTCCAACAGAGTTGTCGCGGCAACTAGGGTTCCTGCGATTTTCCACGATTGACGCATCACGCGAATTTGTCGAACGCAATCATCCTTCCATCTTTTTCTACGGTCCCACAAACGACCGTAGTACTCAAGTTCGCATAGCTTACAGCCGTGAGAGAGAAGACCGAGCTCGCGCAAAAGGTGCGAGTGACTGGAACTGCAGAAAGGTAAGTTAACGTGGTGGGGACAGGAAACATGCTTTCCTACCCCAGACGTACGCAATTACTGTTACTGTTCTGTGCTTACCAAACCAGTGTCTCGTTCTCAACTTTTCCACACGTCCACACTGTTTCAAGTGCGGTAACCCACGACCCGGTACGTATACCATCCTCCACCCCTCAATTCTCATCAACACTAATCATCCTCGCAGATATGGATAACGGTCCCCCAGGAGTTCCGATTCCTAAGATAGCTAATGATGGTGACAATGATGTCGCTCCTGAGAGCCAGCCTTCCCAATTCTTGCTGATCCGTGGTCTGGAGGCGTCTGTCACAGAGGAGCTTCTTGCCAAAGGAGTTTCTAAACTCTATCGGCCGGCTGTCAACAATGACAGCGCCACTGACAATCAAAAGAAGGGATCGAAGATAGCATCGACCACTGGTGACAGCAACTTGGGAGCTCGCGAAGGCTCTCTCCGCCGCGTGCTCCTTGTACGTGATCGCAGAACCAATGAAAGCTGGCGTTACGGATTCGCAGAATTCGCGGGAATCAATGTACGGTTATCATTCATCTCTCATATTGTTTCCTCTTCTAACGCTTGACATTTCAGGATGCACAAGCTGCCATGACGAGACTCAAGTCTTTCGAAAAGTTTACCATCTCCTCAAAGCCGGTGTTGGTCACCTACATTCACGGTGGAGTTTTTGTTCCAGTCATGAACGCCTCATCCAGTGCTAGTCACTTCACATTCAGCCCATCTAACAACCCATCGCTGAAGTTGATGTACTGGGATGATGCAGCATACGTGAAGGAACTCGTGCTGTCAACAGAGGAAGACGATCCTGTAGCCAACAAGACAACTTCCAACCATGGAGACGTCCAAGCCAAGGGCACGAAGGACGATAAAGGCAAAAAGAGAAAAGCCGATGGCCCGCCTATTTCGAACCCCAAGAAGCTTGCAATGCCATCCCAGCTCCAATTCTGGAGTGACCGCCACGCTGAGCTACATGGGATTAACAGAAATGATGCCGGAAACCCCGCAGAGGGCTCGACCTCCGCAACTCTGGCGACTGACTCGGCCGCTCCACCAGCTCCATCATTCGCAGACTACAACCAGAACCGCTGCCTCCTGTGCATGCAGCAGCTTGTGGATGCGGGTCATCTCAGATACCACGAGCGCACTAGTGATATCCACAGCGAAAACCTAAAGGATGTCAAATTGAGGGAACTCGGCGTATGCTGGTTGATGATCTATGGTATCGTGCCGTTGCCTACTCCGAACTATCAAGACAGCAAAGACGAATATCGTGACGGACTTGAACAAGAATACTCCATCCCTCCATCCGCTCGATCCTTTGCAGACCTGAATCGGAACTGGTGCCTGTTGTGCTTCAGCAAGTTTGATACTCCGGCAGAGGTCCTCGTGCATGACCGCGTCAGTGAATACCACCGAAAGGAATTGAAAGATGAAGAGGCGGTGAAGTGGGGCTTGAACAAGCTTAAAGAGGCGGATATCGCGCAGGATATCGCGCCGGCGGCTCCAGAATATAGAGACCGCGCAAAGGAGCGTCGGAAGGCGTTCGGACGTAACGATGCCAATGCCCGCCCGAGACCCTCTGAACCAGAGGAAGAGGACGAGACACCCGTTCAGACATCCTCGATCGGCGCCTCTCTTCTCAGCAAGATGGGTTGGTCGGAAGGATCTGGCCTTGGTGCTCAAGGAACTGGTGTGACTGCGCCAATTGCTACAGAAATCTATGCCCAGGGCGTCGGACTGGGTGCGCAAGGAGGTCGACTGGGCGATGCAACCGAGGAAGCTGGTCGGAACACTCGGGGACGGTACGATGAATTCCTGGAGAAGACCAAGAACGCCGCACGCCAGCGCTACGAGGAGATGGACCGATCTTGATCAATTCAAGACGGTTGAATGTACAATAGGGTGGAAGTGGTGGGGGTGGTTGGGATATGAATTGAAAGTGAGGGGGAGATATCTGATGTTCACCTTGTGCCATAACTGGGCAGCCGATTCCATGTATGATTACGACAACTAATGAACTTGTACGATGTTCCTAGGTAGTTGATTTCCTCTGCCACTTCTTGGCTATCCCTTTCCGCTTTAGTGCTCAGGCTTTGCCGCTTTTTGCTCCCTGAATTCCAAAAAGCGCTCATGAGTCGTAGTAAAAGGGAATAACTTGGCCAAGTCGGTTAATAGGCCTTGGCATCTCGGTCTTTTCCGTTCCTCTCTCCTTCCACTTAACCGCGCAACCACACATCTCACCTGCAAAAATGGATGAGCTCCGTAATAGACTTGACAGTCACTGGACTGGTGCCCATGTGGCTAATTTGAAATCCAGGACCATGTTGCCTGGTAGGGGGAATAGGGACACGTTGACAGTTTGCGAGCTGTTGAGCGAACCGTGGGCTTTTGACTCTGTGGCGTTTTAATGAGGATAATATCCTCGTGTGCCCCTATTTCTACCTTTCAACTGACAAACTTTTCCAACTTCTAGTCATTCTTTTTTTGGATATTGTTGTTTTAAATCACTTTCTTTGCATCATCAGTCACTCCTTAAAACTGTTCGATTGAGCAAAAGAATACGACAATCAAAGATGATGCGCTTCGTGATTTCTCTGGTCGTCTCGCTCGCTTCGCTTGTCGCTGCCATTGAAATCACCAGTCCCGCTGCGAACACGACCTACGCAGCCGGGTCCACCGTCAACGTCGAGTGGACTAGCGTTGATACCGATCCTACCAACTTCAGTCTTTATCTCTGGAACTTTGTCTCCTGGCCTCCATCTTATGTTCCGCTGGCCATCGACGTCCCCACGTCGGATCTGTCTTACTCTGTCCAAATCCCCTGCGAGACCACCCCCGACTGGGGTTACCAAATCAGTGGTATCAACGGCACGAACGTCTACATCATCTACGCGCAGGGTGAGAAGTTCACCGTCGACAATGCCGACAACAGCACCGCCTGCGTGGACACTCCTTTGCCGACTACATCCATCTGCCCCAACGCTGCGGCATCTACCGTCTATGTCACGGTGAGCTCTACTCCCAGCTCCCGTCCTTTCCATCATCCATCCCACGCCCATCATCTATCCCACGTCCATCCTTCTCCATCACCCAGCACTGCCAGCATCTTGACCTCTGGATATACAAAGCCTGGAATTGTGCCTAAGACTATAGGTTGGTGCTCAGACTATTCCCACCCTGTAACCTTGGACAAGGTTCCCGCCCCGACTCCGACTCTTTCGGCTCCCAACGATACAAATGGATCTGATGCTTCGCCGGTCTTCACTGCGGCACTGGACCAGGTCACTGATTCCCCTGGCATCCTCACATTGACTATCACTAACACTGCGACCGTGCTGGCTTGCCCGAACGTGCACACAATTTGATGGAAGTTTGTCCGAGCAACCGGTGACCAGTCCACTTCTTTATGTCGATGTATTTTATGTAGTACCGAACGAGAAGGAATTTATACATAGTAGATCGAAATCAATTTCCCCCTTGTACTTTTTAATTGTTTCTCAAATTCTGACTACATTGAGCTGCTCACTGAGCTTGAGCCCGGTCTGAGCTTTACTCGCTGAGTCGGACTCTGAGCGCCCTCATAAAAGCGGCGGCAGCCAATATAAGAAAGCCCTACCCGGCAGGGGAAACACTACGTAGAGTTACCTAGGTAGTCATGCTGGCACCCATTCGGGTGTCTTTCCCTTTCCATTGTAATCGGCAAGCCATGCCGAGTAAATAAATAATGTACAGCTGGTATCAAATCATGAGTAGAGTGTAGTGAGTGTAGTTGGTATGTGCAAGTAATTTTTGCAGAGTCCTTCCTCAGTTCTCTTTCGTATCCTGGTTCTCACGGAACGCCCTCTTCATCTTCTCCTTCTCCAACTGCTTCTCAAACTTATCACCGAGGATCTTAGCAACCCACTCAGTAACGTCCTTCTCAAGCTCCTCATCACTCTTCACAGGCGTATCACTACCACCCTGCAACCCGTTCCGCACGAATCTCCGCATATCCTCTAGCCCATTAATATTCAAAGCATACCCGACCGCACCGCCCGCCATCAACCCAAACGAGATCACATTGAGCGTAGCCAAATTCAGAGCCTCGAATGCGTCGCCCGCGGAGTTCGCGTGCGGCTGGTGGTACACCGAGCTTGTGTGGAAAGGCGGGATGCACGCGATGCGTTTCTTATTGAAGGAGCGGCGTGTGATTAATACCGACAGCGCGAAGAACGTCATTCCTCCGAAGAAAAGTTTGAGGTTTGTGTTTGTTTGCGGTGAGGGTGGTTGCGCTACTTGTGTTTGGGCTGGTGGTGATGGGTTGGCGGGTTGATCGGGTGTCGCCTTGTCTTGAGGTGTTGGTTGGGGAGTCTCGGGTTTTGGGCTTGAGCCCCAGCCAAATAGTGATACCATTTTTATGCGCGGGGTGTGTGAGGGCGAGGGTTGTTTGGTTGGTGATGCGAATGCGAGGCGGAGCTGAATAAGCTGGAAAAGGATGAAAGTCGAAGGATCGGGAGTTGTAGAATTCAACAGAGAGGATGACTGGATATGATATTTTTCCGCGAAGATAACTCGAAGCACTGTATCTGTGTGGGGTTTGTCTTGCTGTTCTCGTGAATGAAGCAAATCCGCGCGGAGGATATGGCGGATGTGCACGTGACCCGGTTCTCATCGAAGGTTCCAAAGTTGACTGCCTTCACGTTACGACACTTTTGTGGAAATTTGACTCATACTTCGGTGAAATGATGCCGTTGCTTTCAGATAGACAGCACGCACAGGAATATCCCGTTCCGGAACTATACGAAGCAATGAATGGCTACATCTTAGATGAGGCCGAATGAGAATCGAAGTTTTTAGGGCTAGAGCGTCGGCTGGCTCGGGTTCTGTCGTCCTTGTGCAAGTAAGTCAGATCGAAACTGTCGACCAGGCTGTCATTAAACAAATTATCTTCTCTATGTATCATCAAAGCATAACGCCAATCAAATCGGAAGTATGTAAGGTATGCAAAAACACCATGGATGCAACTGTCAGAATAACAATAGCAGAAACCGAAATCCATTCAAACCATTTCAAAAAGCATTCTCATATGTTCATAATTCAGCGCGCTTCGTCAATATACTGTGCTCATAGAAAAAAAGTAAATCATAATAACATCATAATAGATGTAATCCAAATCGGCAGGAAATTAATTCATATCGCCGGTGGTGATAAGCATATCAGCGCGACCAGGCCGATGGAACCGATCAATACCAAGATGCTCCTTGCCGTCACGACCGACATAAATGCCAAAGCCGTACAAAGGCAGGTGGCGCTCCGAGGGTGGAGCAACAATAAGACGAGTAACGAGGTCAGTCTTGCTCCTGGGCTCGCGCAAGATTTTATCAGACAGAAGAGGCGACTGATAAAGATAGCTCATCAGATCAGCCAAGGTTGTGATATCGTGTGGGAGATAGCGACGACGGCCCGGCCAGATTGCTATGAAAGATACGGCATATAGGCCACAGAAGGCAATCAAAGCGTAGAATGCTGGCAAATAGGCAGCGATGCGGATCTGGTCGTGGTCGGAGAACCAGAGGGCGATGAAGACGCCTCCGGCGAGAATGGGGATGGCGAGAGATAGCAGGCTCATGAGGGAGATCCAGGCAACTTTGAAGTGGCGGTTGATTATGGCCTGGATGGTGACCTGGAATGGGTAGGAGGATGGGTAGGAGAGTAGGATGCTCCGTTCGGCAGATGCGCCGCTGGGGGATGAGAGTTCGGCGTATGGTTGGAGAGCTCGGAAGTATACGTCGACAGGTTGCCAGGCCAGGAAGAAGACGTTTCCGATTAGTGCGGGGATAAAGCTGTATAGGAAGTTGGAGGAGGAGAATGCACTTGTCGATGGGAGTGTTGGTAGCTTGGGAGGGAAGCCGCCTTCGATGGCGCTGTTGATAAAGCTAACGGCGACAAAAGCGACGAAGAGGGCGAAGACAATGAGAGTCCAAATAAATACTGGGACGTTGCGCAGAAACCAAGGTGTCCAGCGATAACGGGTGGATGGCGAGTATAGGTGGTGATCTTGTGGGTCATTGGCGAATGCACCGTTGTGCTCAAGATCAAAGCGAACCTTGGTAACTCCGTGTGGTTGATCTTCTCGGCTTTTGCCTGTCTGATGGAGAGATGGGGTGCGCACTGGGGCATCTACTTCGCCGATTCCGTAGAAGATCTCGGCCTTGCTCGAGAGTTTCCAGTATCCCAGTCGAAGTACTCGGGGGTCGAGGGATTCTCGCACCGAAGGAACTGTTTCAGAGTGCTCAAAATCGTGGAGGATATTCGATCGCTGTATGATCGAGACCAAATCTGCGAGGCTGACGGGATCCCACATCAAGCCAGACGAGCCACGAAGGAAACGGATGAAAAGCATGATCAGGCCTAGTGTCAAAACACCATATAATCCCACCAATGTCCAGCCCACGGATTGAACCGAAGCCCATCGCCAGACACCTTGTCCGTCAATGATATAGTACTTTGCCTGGAAGAGACAGCTGAGCAGAGGGATGGCGAAGAAATTCGAAAGCCAAATTGTGAACAAAGAGAATCCGAACAAGGCTTCACCATGGCGGAAATGGGAGAAGTCGGGGAAAATGAAGTTCTGCGAGAGAATAGGCAGGCGGTTCATCACCAGACCTTGCCCTCGCTCTGCTGACATCATAGAAAATGGTGCGATGCGATATACCGCAGCTTGAATGACGAATAACCATATGATGATGATTGCGGCAGCTATCTGTGGCAGGAACTGTAGCACAAAATATCTCGAGTCGCCTTGACGCACGTAGTTCCACAATCCCTCTTCACCACGGGACCAAACATTGCAAAACACTATACCCGCTATCATGAGCAGACAGCAAAATATCGTGAGCGCCAAAGCCCACGGCCGCAGAACAAGAGGCAGATAGTCCAAGGGAGGATACAACATGCTCTTCTCCGGCGCATCAACAGCCATGAAGGACTCGGGGTCCACTGACATTGGCGTTTGCGGCAAAGCCTGTGGTGAGGGAGATGTATAGGACGGTCTCACTGGTGGCGTGTCATGTCGAATGGGGGTCCGCGTGCGGGTGAAATAACCGAGTCCCTCGTCCCATATAAGTCTATCGGTTGGATAGTCACCTGTCGTCGTGGTGGAAATAGAGTCATTCCTTTGGAGCCCCCGAGTTCTGTCTTGGGTGATCTGGTCGATTGCAAACCGGACGTATGGGGAGTCATCTGTGCCTGGAGTCGGAGATGGTCCCGGGTAATCACTGGGGGATCGGCGAGAAGTCCCGTTTGATCTTGATCCATCGGATGTGGGACTGATGTGGGCCGCTCTGTCGTCTACGAACCGAACTGTGCTGGATGTTGGTGGGCGTTGGGACTCGCGATCTTCTTGGGCAAGCTGTATTTGCGACATGGCGGGTGATGGTGCGTGGGAGTCTGGAGTCCTGAATCGCATGGCTGTTGCTAGACTCTCCGGACTAGAGGTTCGTTCTGAGAATGAATAGTAGTCGTCTGATGCAGCCACGGACTGTTGAGATTCTGATCGGGCAAGTTGCGGTTTGCTTGCTATATAAGGATCAGTTGACTTGACTTCTGGAAGTTGTGTAATGTCTGTAGTTAAAAAGACAACGGGGCAGGGGTTCTTATATGCACGTACTGTTAACGCTGCGCAGGCTGAAGTTTCTCGCCTGGTTCATCATGCTGGCTGGATATTGATCCCACGCGCAACGGTAATTAATCTAGAAGCATTCCTCGACTCCCTTGAGATACGAAGGGATTTTTCGAGGGCCAGCAATCGCTGCCCAGCGGGATTTTGTCTGCCATAGTGCTGGGTGACGTCTCCCAGCCACCCCAGCCACACACGCTGAGATTTGCACTCAACAAACCAATAAGGATGAATTAAATTGAAGAGTTGAAACTCAGGCACTATTCATTTGATGAATCATACTAGAAATTCCATCGAATTAAAAGTTGAGGAAGAGTTACGGAGGTGGTTGAGTTGTTTCGCGGCCCGATCACCAGCACATCCATCGCCTAAAGCTTGGCCTTTTATCTCTCCAGGTCTCACCAAGTCTCACACCCGATCACCTTTCTTTTCAATTTTCCAATTTCAAGAGGTCAATTTCCACGGTAACCATATCAAAGCCCTATAGTTCTTCTTGAAGGACGCCCCAGAACTACAATGTAACCATCCGGACTCTGCCTCGCATCTACAATTGCCACACTGGAGCCCCAAGGCAATAATTGCCAACAATTGCTGCTCTAGATAGCAGCTATACGCAATAAAAAAGCAGGGTGTGTTCAAAAATTTGTCAATGGTTGCAGCCCACTAACGCAGCGTGGTGTTGCAATTGTTGTTCTCCCTTGCAGGTATAAGTGGCTGGAACTAGGGCTTCACGGTCCGCCGAGCACATGAAAACATAAGGCTGTATCTAGGGCAGTATGAAACATGATCGAGGGCAATTGTGTCTATTAGACAATGTTTAGGATACGCATATCTGTCTTATTCAAATGAAGATTTCTGGGTTCTCGTTCGGTTATGGATAAACACGCTCAGAAAATCCTGACATATGAATAGTTGGTCCAAGGGACTTAGAAATCGAGAAACAGAGAGATGAACATGACTAATTTTTCCGTTTGTTATTAGGTGCTGGATTTGAAATCGTCTGCCTCTTACTCTGTACAACAAATAGTTATATGTGCTTCCCCGGTTCTGTTTGAAGCTTGCCATATACCAATTAGGTGTACTCCGTAGGCACGTTCAATTCCGATTGGTGGCCTCGTCATTTTATTTGGTACGTTGTAAATTCGCACCATGTCCTGGGACTCTTCAAGAGATGATACTACCATCCTCTATTTGATTCTATTGATGCTATAAGCAGGCCGAGGTTATTGATTCCCTACGCTCTGTGACTCCATTTGATGGCAATCTACCATTCTTGATCTCGAGGCCAATTCTTAACACATTCAATGTGAAATTATTCTTATTTCTCGGCCATTATGGCAAAGGACTCTGTTCATACATGTCATGTCAGTAAGAGGTAAATCTGGCAAACTTGAGAGTCGATTAGCACGGAGGAAAGGGAAGCAGGACTTGCGCAGATTGCCAGCACCTCCAATCCCGATTCTAACATAGCGCTCTTGAAAACCAGACGTCGACCGAGTATCCTGAGCCCCATTGAGCCTAGAACTCTGCGCTGACTGTGACTGGAGAAGAGCTACTCCGTCTAAGGTTTCTAAGGGCAGTTGCCCTTCGTCGTCCTCGGATTTCTGCCGTTTTGGCCAACTGAGAAACCTCCATAGGCAGCGCATGGTTTTCAACCGGAGGAATGAGTAAACAACCTTGGTCGAGGGTTTATCAAATCAGTACTCTGGCTCTTAATGTCTTGATAGATTTTACTTACGATTGCTTCAAGGCTTCGACCAACTTCAAATGATCTTTGCATAACCCTGTCTCGTCCGGGAATAATAGCTAGTTATACGCCTAGCTAGCCGGTCCCTTTCCGTGATGCAACGGGTTACGCAGAACGAACACTGTACGACCATGAACTTCAAATTTCCCGGAACAGCCAGACTGGCTACCGTTTATTGATATAGGATGATATAAGAGGAAACTATGACATATCAGTATATGATAATTTAGCCACCACCAGGAGATAAGTCAGTCATACATTTGAGATGGAGTAACGCATTCACTATGTGTGACAATATATGCCTGCAGTTTTTGCACGATTCACTAAAGCCTCTAAAGCCTCTAGAGACCAATTTGAACAAAGGCTTTGTCAAAATGGAGAAAATCTGGAGGACTTTTATTCTATCTACCTCAAAAAAGATCACCGTTGATATACTTCTATTTCATTCTAAAGCAGTATCTTGGGGATCAAATGATCTAGTGGTGTGTCCAGGTTGCAATGGTCACACGACTGTGACGCGATAGTGAAACCCCATTAGGAACTATTGGTCCATGTGGTCACAAGCTTAAGGTTAATGACCTGAAGATATCAACTGCATTCGGAGAGAGCCTATGTAGTACCTTGCATTAGCAAAAGAACGGAAGCTGATCATGATCAAAGATGATCAACCTTATCTGGTCTCCAACAAATAGAATGACGTTTGGATATCCAGTTAGGGATTTGAGGTGGACCTGTTTCATATTTTTTAAAAAAGGTGGGACTGTGGGCCTCCGACGGTGATACTGAGAGTCCGGAGTTCAGGCCCAAGCGTTTCCGGGGCTAAATATCCCGGCTGATAGCAAAAACTGCTGTGCCGCGTTAGTGGGTCAGACGGTGGCGAGATTGCGAGCAATGTTTGAAGGGTGTGCCTATGGATCGCAATATATGGCGTATCGTATGGACACATTTTAGAAACACAGATCTTGTTTCATATGAATAAGATGAGGCTTCTGAAACCATGTACATATTGGCTCTTTGAAGACCCTAATTCGAAAGGAGAAATGAGCTTCAGTCACTTGGTAAGAAAAGCAGGACCCAATCGAACACGGCAGAGAAAAAGTCGTGTTTCCTAAGGATTTAAGAAGTTGGCAAAATAGCCAGCGGGAATAGCCAATGATCTTGCACCAGCCCCGATTGCTCCGACGGCCTTGGCAACCCCGAAGTGGCACTTCAACCGCGAAGGGCGAATGAGAAGGCAGAACAGCTCTGCGCCAACGTCCCCGGCATTCCAGAGGGGAACCGTGCAGCGGGGCAAATTATTTAGCCTCGCGTTTAGATGTTCAAAGGATTGGAGGAGGAGGTCAAGAGAGAATAGAAAGCTTGATATGAGGAATGACAGAGTAATGTACAGAGTAGATAGGAGGGAGTACGTATGTTGTAGAAATAAAGTGGCATCATCTGACTGCTGCCTGAGGCCAGAAATCCAAACCTCCTCCTCTCTCCGCAGATTCTCTGGTTTATCTGCGCTCCTCGTCATTCCTTTATTCTTTTTGAGTCCGTCGATTCTTTTGCTTCTTTGAATTTCCGTCGACTCTTAAATTCTTGGCTTTCCCCTCATTTGCTTCTTCTTTACCCCTTCTTTGCTCAGAAAGCTTTTATTTCGATCCCGGGTTCAGATGTCCCCAGCCAATGTGGTGTTAGAACCTCAGCTCTTGCGTCGCGTGTGCCATTAGGCCATTTAAAAAATAATCACTTGTTTTGTCCCTATCGGATTTCTCCTCTGGCCTGGAAAAGAGAAGGTCGGCTTCTTAGGGTCTCCCCTCATCATGTTGCTCAAACCCGCGACACCCCTCACCATCTTGCTGCTGATCGCCTTTGCGCTTTTGCTACTCTCATGTATCTCAACTCCTATTGTGAAGGGAATTCCTCTAGCAACTTTCAAAGATGTCGATTATGGTGTCTTTGGATATTGCAAGGGTAGTACCTGTACCAATATCCATGTGGGATACACGAGCAGTAAGTCTCCCCCCTGCGTGTCTGCCTATTCTCCGCTAAGTTTCATGCAGATGATATAAGTAGCACAGGCGATGATTTCAATCTCCCTTCCGGTACTCGAAAGTCACTGTCCTCGATTCTCATTATCCATCCAGTCGCCGCCTTCCTGACCCTTATTTGCCTCTGCCTGGCCATTGCGGCCCACTTCCATGCGCCCTCCCACTCGCCGCGCTTCCTATTGGCGCTTCTCATCTTGTTGCTGCCAACACTGCTCGTGTCTCTCCTCGCATTCCTCGTCGATATCTTGCTCTTTGTACCACATCTAGGATGGGGTGGTTGGATTGTGCTGGTCGCGACCATCATCCTCACCTCCTGTGGAGTGGTCACCTGTGCCATGCGCCGAACCCTTGTGAGTCGGAAGGCAAGGAAGCGTCGGATCGCGGAAAATTCTGAGATGAGTGGAGAGAACTATTATAACCGACAGAATGCCGCTGCGGCTGCGCCCCCTGTTCCGGCTCCCATTGACCCCAAGGAAGCCTTTGTGTCGCACTCTCTCAACTCCGACTCGGGCCCAACATTCGCATCCTTCCACGTGGAAACGCGCGACAGTGATGACGATCGAACACCCCTCAACTCGCGGACTCCCATGAGCGATACCCCAGCACAACCGGACCATCACGGTGCTCCCTATCGCGGCCCGCAAGATGAATTTGGCAATATCCCGCCTCAGGGCCCGGGCCCGTACGGTGCAGGTCTAATGTCACGGAATCCCTCCGATCCCCGGGTTCGCCCCCAATATTCCGATGGCAGTATGGGTTCTCGAAGAGGAGGCGCGCCGCCTGGCTTCAATGGACGCGGGCGGGGTGGATATCCTCCCCGGGGTGGACGCGGTGGACGCGGTGGACGTGGAGGACCTTACATGGGACCTCCTCGCGGCCCTCCTGGCTCCCGGGGTGGCTACATGGGGCCAAATCCAGGCCGTGGAGGTCGCGGTGGAATTATGCCACCCCGGGGACCACCAGTCGGCTATGAGTCCGGTCCAGGCGGCCCCAACCGCGGTTTCGACGCATACGGTCGACCTGGGTCGCCTCCCATGGATGACCCTTATAGTTATGGGCCACCGGGTCAGATGCACCAGCCACCTCCCGGGCCCATTGGCATGGCCGTGTCACCGGAGACGGTAGGCCAAGCCATTGAGATGACTCCGCAATCTCGCCCGCAGTACGAGATGCATGAGTCGACTCAACCAATGAGCAGCGTACCGCAAACACTGTCAGCCGAAAACCACGGTGCCGTCCCTGAAAGCCCGACAAGCATATACAGTCGACCGAAGTAAGTCGGAATGCTACGAATACCGTTCCTAAGTTGACCACTAACCTTTGTTCAGTTCCTATGATCCTCCTCGCTCGGGCTGGGGTGCAAATGATCCTCGCACTGTGACCCCGCAGCCACCGCAACAAAACAACATCAGTACCAATTACTACGAGGACGTGGATCCCCGTTTTGCTCGTCGGCCATCGCCTCCTACTAACTCTGGGATCCCCCCCTCTCTGACGCCTGGAGCTACTCACTGTACGTACACTCACAGATCACACGTGTTGAAGGATTCTTGCTAACTTTCTCCTAGTTTGATGAAATCTATTGGTTTCTAAGTGTTATTCATGTTTGACACGATTCTTTCCACATCTTCTATGCTTTGCGATACCCTTTGCTTTTCTTCTTTTCTCTGGCTAAATTTTGATTACTTTTTTCCCTCCGATTTCATGACACACTAAGTCATTTTGGGGAATGGAGTTATGGTGTCCTTTTATCTTCCCATTCCTCTATAAATGCTCTCTTTTGGGACGACAAGACGTTTCATCTTGTCCCCAAAAATCCGCCACAAGACACGGCGTTGAGAATGGTAATTCTTTTCGCTGCTCGATTGTACTCTGCCTGGACTTCCATGTATAGCAGCAGGCGGATACGATGTACAGAAACAAATTCCTAAGATGTCTGGCTTTATCCAAGATCAACAGCATATGACGCTGCTACTGATTTGATCTTTTTTGTACTTTCTTCCACTGAGTGGACTGTGACTTTTATCTTACCCGAATCCATGTACATTTCTGTTCTCTGGTACATTTGACTTTTCACAATTTCCAAACATAATAATTAGCTCTTCTGTGATCTCCGCATATGATTGAAATCTTCTCTCCCCAAAAGAAAGATAGCCCTGTAATATAACATAGATCGAGATCTTCAATCCTCCTTGCCAATCATGAATGGGAGTACTAATTCAGTCTGAATCGACATGAGAACAAGCCCAATGTCTCTGGTGGCGAAGATGACGACGAGGTATAGATGATTCGTGAGTGGAGCTGGCTTGATGAGATGAGCATGTTGCTTCGAGAGAAGCGTGAAGTTGAATGTGTACTTAGGGTATTTCTAGAGGGTCTAGATTGTGAGTTGAGGAAGGCTCAACGGGATTATTGTCTGTCCGAGAAGGAGCAGGGGTCTAGGAAAATGATAGCAAGGAAGGGACGATGAATGATATCCTTGTTCTTTCCAAGTCATAGCTCAGGTCTGGGGTTATTCCTCTTTTGTTTTGTAGAGTTGACAGGAAACAGGGGGAACGGACTGCTTCATCGCGATAGACTAGGTAATCGCAAACATATCACGCTCATATTACATTTTTCATGGTTTTAGAGGCTCTAACTGGCAAAATACTATGTAATAATTCTCACTTTGCTCTTACTTTTTGATGAATCTATCGAATATAACTTTCATATCAATTGTGGCTTACTCTGATACGGTCTTACATTGTCACTATATTTGAAGTCATAGAAGTGTACAAACAATATAAGCTTATGGGTATTGATACCAGGAAAACAATGGTTAGGCTGTACTAACATTATTCTATTCATTTTATAGAGTCCCTGAATTACTATTTAATATACTACCCAGCACGTTGAACTTTCAACTCCTTCAACAACCACGATCACATTGGATACCTACTACAACCCAAGAACACAACTTACAAGGTATGACCCCTTAGCCCATGGCCAAGATTTGGTATGAAACAATGAGCTATTTAGGTCTCTGATTACATTGCAGGTTGAGCATCATCAACCATTCTCCAAATCACAGACATAGCCTATCCAATATCCCCCAACCAGTGAGATAGACGCTGTTTCTCATCCTTCAAAAACAGAGGCTAACAAGCTTAAAGTGACCGATATTCGGCCCATTCCGTCGCCCAACAATGCATAGCTAGAACATCTAGCAAGGCTCACAAGCCGTGCAAATCTTCGCGCTCGTGAGTGCCGAAAGATAGACCAGGAGATATCGCGGATTACGAGCAGCAAGGAAGCTACAATGACCGCAAATCCATACTTCCACTATACTCATGGAAATGTCCTAGCGGACATGGACAGAGAATTGGCGTCTCTCTGCAGCGAACTTAGGGATATGAAGAAAGAAGAAAAAAAAGAGGCCATGATGGAACAGGAAGTCTGGAACCAGATTGGTTGAATGAGAACCAAGGCGTTAAGAGTTTGGCTCCTATAATGGACAATGCCCTTCCCGGCTCTATCCTCGATATTATCACGTTTACCAACAGTACTACGCATTCGTTTATTCATTTTAATATTCCATTAGTAGAGCTGTAAGGTCAATCTTCTATGCTGGACCGAAGCGCATATATCGTTTCTAGTCAGTACAATGACAGTACACTCAATAGCGCTACTATTTCCCTTTGGGGTGGCATTCTCACAGATATGGGCATTTCTGGTATAGATTTACCTATCATGAGAAGTTTCAGCTCCAGTCAAATTATCGTATGCCTATAGCTCGCGTTTGATACTGAGAACTGAAAAGCTCTAACAAATGCTAGAGCTATGTGACGGCTGGTAACTACATCACACGGCAGTCTAGATTGAAGTACCGAAATCCACTATCTAGGCTTAGACCATGAACTTATATTGAGATGGTGCAATATCAGTGTCTGATATGTAGAATACAGGAAAAATCCGGTACCATGTCATTTCTGCGCCACATCAACAAGTCCACCAGAACAACTTGATGAGAAAAATCACCACAAGGTACCTGTGTACTCCCATTCGACAACCGCTCAGGAACCTTGGAAATTTATTTTGGTTACTAGTCTCCATTAGGAAATAAAGAGTATAAGGATAAGAGATTTGTTGATGTTTAGATTACTGAGTATGGGAATAATGAGATTGGTTGTTTCATAATGTATGCATTGCTTGACTATCCACAATATATCGGAGGTTTATCTGTTCATTGCCTATCAAAATGACGATCTCCTTGGCCACTATGAGCACCTTTTTAACTTCCTCCAGGATGTTCTTTGAAACAACAAGGACCGCCAGTACATGCCTCCATCTCTGTTGAAGTCAATGCATCGGGGTGGCGGAAAGTGGCAATATCATGGGTGTAGATAAGTAGTAAATCGATCGTCCAACGAATGCTGGCTTCATTAAGTAGACTTTTGGAGCGGGCGGCATCGACTTTCGTTAGGACATCTCACAGGATGGAGCTCCCAGCGAAAGTGCGTTTGATACCACGAAGTCGACACTGCTCTGAACCAGTCAGACTATTTCCAGACTGGAGTTTACCAGCAACATCTGGTGAGATGGTATGAGATATCGACAATGTATGCAAATTTTTCAGGGTCGCTGCGAGGATACTCGGGGAGGCACAATATACGAAGAACATATCGTACAGTTTCAAGCACTGAGCTACCATAGGTAGTAACTTGGAACCCTGTTCATAATCAGAAATCAGCTTAGCTCGGGGACATCGATAATAACTGGTGGGTCGGCTGTATCAACCAGCCAGTGCGACTGAGAGCATTCTCAATTTCTGCTCATTTGTTGAATTTGACCTATTCGAAACAGATCCATTGTGTAACGGCCCGATCACCTTGATGGAATGACAGGCAGAGAATCTGCTGGAGAACCTACATTCATTCTTCCAATCCCCACTGCAAGACACTGATACTGAAAGGCGAGGCCTATTGGAACCCCGACTTGTGCGTGCGATTCGAGGTGTCTCTTCGAGCATAGACTTGTACTTGCTCTAGCTCCTCCAGATGGACTGGATGTTCCTCACTTCTTTTTCCTCAGCATTTTGTTTCAATGCAGTTATAAATGCAGCACAGTTGTAACTTACTGACCAATCTATAGTAAATATTCGGACTCTTAGTGGTTTTATATAATGAAGGAAAACGGGAAATGACCAAAGAGTAAGAGAGCAGGGAAGAAGGATTGATTTCTAAAAGAAAAAAAAAGAAACGGCTAACTAAATAGCCAGTGGAAGCCTCACAAACCAGGTATCAAGGCATCCTCAAAAAGGAAAATCCCTAGTTAGGTACTCCGTACAGTTCGGATTTTCACACCCACCACCACAGGCTTAGTAAATCAGTTGTCTCTAGTTATAACTGCTTCGCTTCGCTCCTCAATGATAGATATAGTTTGAAACTGCCATAGCAAAGCCAAAGTTGCGAGTACATTCTCGGTCGAAGCATATCCAGAACCCAGATTGTCAACCCCCTCTTCTTCCTTCTTTCTTCAACCTCTCGCACTTCCAATAATACGCCTCCCACCAAAGGTCAGATCCCTCAGCCCCATGGCTAAGACTTTCGGCGAAACAATAAACTAACAGAGACTAATCTTTTGATAGGCTAACTACCTTACTACCTCCCCAGCCAGAGAGGTACACCCCGCGATGCACCGTTCTTAAGCGCGGTTAAAACATAAAGCTAAGAAGGAGACAGTCACTGATGAGAGGCCAATCCTATCACCGAGCGACGAGCAGCTATACCAGCTTGAAATAGCTAAGGCTTCGGGATAACGAGCTCATCTTCAAGGAATGTTGCTACGGGAGGCGATATACCAAACGGGCTTTCTCGAGAATTTCCACATACAACCGAATTGTACGACGAGACCCAAGCTGAAGTGACCACCAACCATGCCGTGCTCAATAAGGGAGTGCGTGTGCCAGGCAAGAAATGGTACGATCTGAAAGATCTCGGGAAGGACCGACGGACCGTCCTTGCCTGTATTCCGTCCACTGCGATTGGTTCCAGTCCTGCTTCAAACCCACAATCCGATTCCCGAACTGAACTCGACCCGACCAATCACAATGGTCGGCCGCGACGAAGCCCGATAGTCTTTCCCGAGAGATGCTCCAAATCAGCCTCGCTGATCTCGAAGGGGAAATAGTACTGATGATCTTACTAGATATACTCTTGGGAATGTTTGCTATCGGGACTCTGACTCTCTACCTACATCATGGGGAGATACAAATTTCACTTTACTTTTACCTTTTATTAAGATCATGTTTTAACGAGCCCATCAAGAATCATTTCGCTATCAATTATTTACACTGTATATATTCAATCAATATACCTAGCTTCCAAGAGATCAAAATGATGAGAACGGGGTTGTGGCTACAAGCATTGACTAGGCTTTCGTTCCTGGGGCAGTATTCGCGCTCACTCCTTCGCGTGTTTGTTGGAAGATCCCACACAAGATTCTTCTCTTCTTCTCTCAACAACCTTGGACTGCTCTACATATACTACTGTCACCACATTGCAACGACTCAAGGTATGAATAGTTGGTACATAAGGACCATTTGTGGTGAAAGAATAATCTAACATTAGTAATGTTATGGATCAAACTTTATCATACCTTTCAAGGCCGCAACAGTCCTCTATCCCACCCTGCTAAAAGTGAGATCCACGCCCTCATCTCGATGTTGTATTCCTAACTGTCTTCAGAGAGCTGACAAAGAAAAGTGGCCGATAGTCGGCCGATTCCGGGCCCGAACAACGGGCAGCTGGAGATGCTAACCCAGCTGCGCCTTATTCGGACCACGCTAGCTCACTCTCAAAGAACGAAAATGCGGCAGGCAAGGATGGTAATTCGCCGAGTACAACTTCTGACAAGCCAATGTGCCGCTAACGGCCAGGCCTCTACTCCTCACGCATTGTGGAGGCTCGAGCGAAGGATACAGTCTCTATTTCGCAATATCCTCAGGTTACAGGCTGAACAAGAGGCTGCCCGTGAGTTTGAAGTGGAGATCTGGAGGAACGTGCGATAAGTCACCAAGTCAACGATCTACAGCCCTATAGAGCCTTGTGTGGATCACAATATCAACATTGAATATCGGAGCAATGCCTCTTTATCTTTCATTGGTTGTTTACCTTTGAAACGGATGTAGAATACGAGAGAATTCTTGCATTAAAACCGGAGAGTAAGCTGAACGCGCCTTAATATGGGCTATCTACATACTCCGTCTTTACAAAGTAAGTGCTATTGTTAGGTATCTCAGGGCATTTTTAATGATATAATTGCAGTTCGAAAAGTCCGATGACTCTGACTTTGTGCTCCGGATGAAAGACTGATCATGTATACATTGATTACGAGTACCAACCAAAACCAATGGATATACTCCTCCAATATCAGAGCACGATTTCACGAAACGATTCTACGCTTGTCACAAATCACGGCAACCCTTTCACCTGCATCATCGATGTAAAATGCCGGAAACATATTCTTCTGACACTTTAAAGTTCCTCCCAAAGAAAAAAACCCAGATTGAGGAAGTAGGTGACAAGCGAGAAAATTCCTGGGAGATCTATACGCGCGAAATCATCAGCCTACGGTGGATCATCTTTTACAAATTTGATTATATTTTACCTCTGTTCGCATTCTTCTTGGCATAGATTGTACCCTGAGGGCTTGACATAGACTTACAGAACCCATCTATCCCGCTCTCTATAATGATTTCGATGCTTTCACTGTTTGGGGCGTTTTTCTTGGCAGCCTGCAGTTTAGAAGGCCGCATTAAATCTGTGATTGATAGGGAAAGATCAGCTGTCTATTGGAATTTAAAAGATAATGTGCGATATGCTTTCAAAGGAAATGGGTCTGAGCGAATCTGTAATATTTATATGCGGTCTACTGTACGCGATTGCTATGCTGTCTCTATCCGGAGGGCGCTTCCTCAGCTCAATATCAGACGAATTGTCGAATGTTTACGGATAGATCATTGGTATGGTAGAAATATATAATTGCATATACATTGGTATACTTGGCATATCTATGAACTATTATTGGACGAGAGCGCTGTAATAAGAATATAGGATGAAATTGCATTAATTCTATAGTGGCCTGTTTGTCTTATTTGCCTTAGATTCGGCCCGAACGGGGGCCTGAAAGCCCGCGCGGGCCGAGAAGTCAGGCCCGAAGCTCGACCCATCGACGGGCCGGGCCGGGTCGGTCAAAACGGGCTTTGGAGAAGTCTACCTCAATTCTTCTGAGACCAGTCCTCAACAAAACGCCTGTGGCTTGGGTTGGCCCCTCTGTCTTGCATCCAATGCAACGTGGGACAGGGATAATGCCATAGCAGCATCTTCCCTAGACCCAATTTTATTGACCCTTATCGCGCCAATTATATTTCTCTAAGCTGGGTTTGCCTGACAAAGCTCTTCTTCCTCCATTCGTAAAAAGCAACTGGCTTTTACCCTGGCTTTCAACACAAGGAAAGAATATAAATACTATAACCCGAGTCTTCCAATATTCACTCATCATGACAATAATCTATCTCCGGTTCTCGAAGAACCCTGCTCCTGTTGAAGATATTGCCCTCGTCACCAAGACTCTTCTAAACATCAACCCAGGCCTAGACGAGACCGAGCGCACCGAGGATACCATCACCTTCTCTTCTACAGACCACGACGTCGACATCTTTGGCGAAATCTTCGAAGAATGGCTGCATTCAGAACCCCCAGTCATCACAACGTTTCGAATGCTGGCCGATTCTTAACGGCTGCCATCAGCCTCCTGACATTATTCGGATCCGTGTCAGCGTCGGCCCTACCTCCCCTTCTCGAGCTTACGACGGACTCCGTGGATCTACAGTCTACATATACTTTCAACTGTTACTCTCCTGGCAAGGCATGCAGGGGGAATGGGGACACTACTGGTGGTGGGTCTTCTATAGAGGGCTGCACGCCCATCAGTGCGAATGGCTGTAGCTAGTATTCCTTCAACGGGGGTGGGCAGTTCAAACTCTGTGTCTATGAAAACAGAGGATGTACCGGTAACACCGTTACAAGTGTCAATGGTGGCTCAGTGACTTGTCTTGGAATTGAAAATGCGGGTGGTTATAAGGCGATCAGAAGAGATACCAACTGCTAGAAAATTCAGGACATCAGGCTAGCCGAGTTCCACGGCAAGGTGCCTTGCAAAAAACCCATACTACCCGGGATGAGCTCCCTAAAGCAAGGATCCAATGCGGTTACTTCTCGTGGAATGAGGAGCTTTATAGGCAGTTTTGGGTCTTCTACCTCTTTGAGCTCCAGGCTGTGCGTTCCATGGCTGTCAGTTTGATGGTAAAGCAATATCGTACCCGACGGACCACAGCTGTCTTCGAGGGGGTTCAAATGAATGATGCATGGTCGTGTTTGGGGATCATCTGCAGCCTGAGTGATTGTGAAAGGGATTTTGTAAATTGGGTCGTCCACCCCCACGTCAGCAGTTGAATCTCCTTCAATTTTGAGCGTGAGGTGGGGTGTGTCTGGTCTGTTCTAATTAGTCTCTTTTTTTTAGTTTCAAGGGGGATCTTCTTACATTCTGTCTTTCTTGGAATATTTCACGAAGGGTAGCAACTGCTGATCATTGAGTTCTTCCATGTGGATAATTTGCCAGACTTGCGATTCTCCGTGTCGGAGAGTTGAAGGTTGGACACATCACATGACCATGGTAGGGACCTCGGCATCAGCTACCATAGCCCTGTTGATGTTTGAATTACTGAGTATGGGAATAAAATGATCTTAGTTGTGTATTGCTCAAGACTGTCTATCTATCTGTCCGTTCGTTCCGCATGTGGATCCTCGGCCCGATGCCCAGTTCCACTCAGTCATACCCCAGATTACTTGGTCATTTCAACAAGCTCCGCTACTATCCATAGAGAATATATCATCTATCTTACTGCGCCTTCACGAGGAAGGTATAGATGTCACTTTCGAAGGGAAAGAGCGAAACCAGACGGATGGCCTCGGCATTTCTATGGTGATCTTGGTAATGATAAATGAAGCCAAGCTGCTTCTAGTAATATATTGGTATATAACAGAAGGGTAGATCTCTCGATAGAAAGGAAAAGGAAATTGAGCATGAGAATAAGCAGTTGAAGGCTATATAATACGTCAATAGAATCCGTTTGCCTCAATGCTGCCTTTAGAGACCTCTAACTACAGTCCACATATCCGTTCTTCCTAGGCCTTTCAAACAGCACATCTTCATTACCTTAAAACCACCTTGTCTGATGGATAATAGAATTATATACAACTCATCATTCTTTCATTCATAAACAAGTTGCGCAGTAAGGTGAATAGCAGTCATAGAACTCTTAGCGCTGTACAAACGAGTTCTTCTATAGATCATTTGATTCATACTGACATCCATAGACCTGATCAAGTGAAGAATAAGGTGTTTACCTATACCGCCCCCAATGAAACACCATACTCTCTCACTTCTGATCAAACACACAACACTTGCCACACTCACCATCACACAATCAATTGAACTTTCTACCATCTCAACGCGATTCTTGTATGCAGAGATCTCACATGAGCTTCTTCCTTTCTACAAAGCTCACACACTCCCAGGATACCACTCAACAGATACCATCCAACATCCCACCCACTCCTCTACAATGAAATACAAAAGACGAGGAAAGGGTAAACCAAATGGGCAGCAGCCCCAAGACACGGGCCACCACTGCACCGTGTGCAAAAGCCGGCAATTCAAGACAGAGCAAGGCCTGAGTGACCATTTTAAATGTCAACACGCCATCTTCCCATGCTCTGACTGCAACGAGATCTATGCGGCTGCAGTCGAACTAGCCGAGCATAGGTACTCAGCACACAACAAGGGAACCTTCAACAAACGATACAGGGTATCACCCAACAACCACTTGCCAACTGCCAAAGGCAACGCAACAAGCCGACCTAGGGCTGCTTCCTCGCCTGCCATACCAGGCTTCCTCTCTACAACAAAGGTGCCTGTGCATCTCCGTCTCCCACCTTCCCGCACTCGCTCAGCTTCACGCGCGTAATCGCGTACCTTTCGCACACAGTTGTGGTCCAGCAATGCATGTCCCTCAACTACCTAATCAAGTCCCCCGGGAGACTGAGTAGGGGCATACAGCATGCACGCGCGTCTTCCGACCATACGCTAGGGTCTTCGGACCACGCGATGAATCCGGTCAAGACCCCTATCTATCAATGCAGGGCCATCAAGTCCCCGTGGGTATGGGCTTCTATCCACCGCCCATCGAATGCCTTCACCACCTGGTGCAAATGTACCAGGTTCCCAGTTAGGTAGGATGGCGATTACGATTGGGATGTCAAGCACCCCCACACATCTACCATACAATGCACGGGGTTGGGGCTTGCTAAGCCGGGCGTGGATCTTCAAGATGCACGTGCCGCGCTTTGCCAGTATATAATCCAGGTCGCAGTGCAAATCGACCACGCTCCGTACCACAACCTGTGAACCCTGGCCCTCGCGCTGGGGCTGGGACTAGTTCATGGGTGTGGTGCTGGATACGTTCGTGGAAGCCGCTGAGGCATGTTTTCCTAATTTCCCCGCGCGGATGATGTTGCCTCTGCCCGCGCGGGTAGGCGCTGAAGATTCTTACGCGCGAGCTGCTGGGGATGCGGCTGCGGCTGCGGTTGTGAGGAAAATCATGTGCTAGGCGGTGCGCACGCATAGCTGAGGCTTTGATATGGTGTTTGTGTTCGCTGGAGTGTCTGATGACATAGGCGGAGTAGGCTGAGTGGGGTGCGGCATGGTGGACGGTGTTGGCGCTGAAGATATTCGCGCGCGGACTACTGAGTATGGAAATGTTGTGCTAGGCGATGGATGCACTTCCATTGCTGAGGCTTTGATATGGTGTTTGTTCGCCGGAGTGTCTGATGATCTGGCTCGATGTGACTTTGAGTGTATGGCAGCATGGTGGTGCTTGCACTGTTGCTGTCCATGCCTGGTCCTAAGGCACTCCGGCGAATTTACAACGAGGGTGTGGTTCTCGGGTCGCTGTGAGCGAAATTATTTATCCCCGTACTGATCGTTGTCTCTGGTCGATTCGTCCGGCTGGGGTGGTGGATCATCACGCGGATTGGCAGTGGGGATCACAGTGATGTTTTGAATTGTTTGAATGAAGAAAGTCAATTTCATTGTCTCCTCGTAGGTGAAAAGCATGAAAAGAATAACCACCTCCTGTATTACTATGTAGAAAAACAAATGCGTAATTAAGTATGGTCACTATTGAAAACAGTACTAAATCACAACGGAAACAAAAGAAAGAAACATTGCAATATTGGTGATGGGGGAATTAAACGCCAACTTTACAGAAACAGGTAAGAAAAAGACAGACAAAGCACAAGTAGACAATCAGACAGTCAAGCCAATAGGAGTATGACTGCTTGAAAAAATAAAGAAGCAAAACACTTGATATAGATATGAGAACACCTCCATTCTCTATGCATGCATCAAAGAGCCTAGAAACCAAAATCCAGCGCTAAACACCTCAATCCAGATGGATACATAACAAGGGCATTAACGTGTTCAAAGAATACTCCGACTGGCCTGGCTACGGCCTGCCTGGCTGCGACTAGCCAAACTAGCACGGCTGGGAGTCGTGCGACTATGCTCGTCTTCCTCGAGAACATCACTCAGACGCGTGGGATGACGATGGCGTGGTGTCACAGATTCCCACCCGGTGCCGGGGCCCCATCCAGCGCCGCTGTAGTCCGCGGCGGAGGCCGGCGCCGGCGGAGGGACGGACGAGGGGGCAGAGGTATATGCGCTTTCGGGAATATAGTGTTCGTCTAGCAGAGAATGCTCATACTCTTCGCTTTCCTCCGAAGGAGGGCCAGGTGGGTAGCTTAAGGAGTCACCATGGGGGTCGTGGGGGTAGGGGGCATATTCTTCATCGCCCGCTTCGCTGCTGCCGACGTAGGAGCGCGCGTCAGGTTCTGAGGTTGCGGGGTAAGGAACCGTTGTATTGTCGTGTGCGTACAGTGGACGCGGATAGGGGACTTTTGAGGTAGGTGGGTCAACCTTTTTGGGTTCGATGAAAGGGTCGGATCCTACGGGAGACATCGGCGTGCCATCTTCGTAGTATTGTCCGGCGCTCCCTGCAGGCTTGCCGTATGCGTCGGTGCCCACGGTTGTGGCTGTCTGTCCGGGGTATGGACCCTCGCGGGTTTGTGGGCGAGTCGTGTTGTGCCGACTAGGAAGGCCAGAAACCATAGGCACAACCTGGACGTCTCCAACAAGTGTTGGCTCTCCATTGCGCAGGGAGTTTGTTCGGTCTCGCTCTTCTTGTTCACGGCGGCCAAGCTCCTCCCAGGCACGGCGTGCCTCCTCCTTGGAGATTTGGAGTTCGCGGCGCATCTCCTTCAGCAGTTCCTCAGCCTTGACTTTGTCTTTTTCAGATTGCTGGGCGGTAGAAAACGCATCGGCTCGGCCTTGTCGCTCTTCCTTGAGCTGGCGTTCCAGGTCCGCCTGCACTTCCTTCGAGCGTTCCTGCTCGGCACGGGTGTCAAAAAACCAGCGCTGGAACTTGCGTTCGGAGGAGGCGCGAAGACGTTGCAGCTCAACCACCGCGTGGAATAGATTGGCACCGGCGGCAGACAAGTCTGTAATCTGTCGAGCCAATTGTTGGCTAATCGGATCACGCTCTAGATCCTCATTGTTCTGTTCAAGTTTGCGCATCCAATAACTGGTGAGACCCTCCCAGTGTGAAGACAGCGTTTCCCATCGCTCGAATGCATGCGGAAACCCAACTCGTTTCGGCTGCTGAAGAGCCTGGGGAGCACCTTGTCCTGCGGGTAGGGCCTGGGCGGATTTGGAGAACCCACTGGGCTTGGGCTGACCTCCAATTTCTGCCGCACTCTGCGAGCGACCGTGTTGAGGCTGCTGAGCGGTTGTTTGTGGCGGCCGTGCCTGGTTTGCTTGCCCCGTGCCAACCGTCGGCGGTGCGGTCTGGTATTCTGATGGCCTGGTACTCGGTGTATTATCTGGTGCTGGCCGGTAACCAGGCACAGCCCCTGAAGCGACGGGTACGGTCTGGGACTGTCCCTCGGGGCCCCTTGCTGGTCGTGGGGCTCTGATTCTTGATTGGGAGGCGTTTTCGGCGGCAACGCCAGCAGCGTACTGTTGTGCCTGGGCCTGGGCATATTTCTGGGCTTCTGCCTCAGCTTCAGCCTGTTTTTCCTCCAGTTGTTGCCGTTCCAATTCTTCCTGTTCTCTCTCTCTCGCCTCGCTTTCTGCTTTGCGGCGAGCCTCCCGATCCCGGCGCTGTCTCATGATATCTGTAGGTGTCCTCATCCCACTCGGTGGCTGTGATGTCCCTGAGATGGGATTCTGGGGTACACGGGATCCGCCATTCTGCCCACGGCTATTGTTCACAGGCCCAGCGGGCCCAGCGACGCCTACCATATCTGACATAGAAGCATTCACTTCGTCCCAGTCGGTGGATAGCTGCAGCGGTCCACGGATAGCTTCCTCGAGGGCGAAAAGGATTGCGGATGCGGTGCGCGACGAGACCCCGGTGTTTCTCTGCGGCCAGTATGAGGTATGGAGAAGCTGGTACGGATCGTCGATTGTAGACCCGTTGTCGTCG